ATGATAAGGTTACGTCATTGTGTGAACTGGTATGCTCTGCTCTGTTGCGTTATTCCACAATCAGAGCTTGCCTTTGTAGGGGTGCGGATTCATATGGTTAGGTTAGGTTTGTCGCCGGTTTTCGCTGCACGCCCGAGTGCCCGGGTGCCCGGGGGTGCCCGGGGCCCGGGTGCCCGGGGGGGGCCCGGGGGCCCGGGTGCCCGGGCGTGCCCGGGCGTGCCCGGGCGTGCCCGGGGGTTCCGGGGGTGCCCTATAGCCGTATATAGCCCTCAGCCCTAGAGCCCAATAGCCCTATAGCCCTACAATTCTATAGCCCTATAGCTCTATAGCCCTATAGCTCAATAGCCCTATAGCCCTGTAGCCCCCTAGCCCTACAGCCCTGATTGGGGTTTTTCTCTGGTATCATGTTATAGTGTGCTCAGTCGTTGTTTCATGATGTGGGGTGTTACGTTCTGCTCTACATGGTTCTCAATGCCATCGCACGCGTTGTTACGATGTGTCTTGGTATGTCCTGTTTTGACATGCTATGTAATATTATGCGTTGTGATGGTATGGTGTCATGTTGTGGCTTGTTATGCGATGGTATTATGTGACATGCCGCGCTCTGTCATGTTATAATGTGCCGTGCTATGGAATGGTGTGTGGCTTAATGTTGTGTTATCGTGTGATCTGTTCTGGCATGGTATGCTATGCTATGATAGGTTATGCCATGATGGTATACCATGATATGCTCCGTTATGCTATATTATGAGGTGTGGCGTTATGTTTTGTGCTGTATATGTTGCGTTAAGGTCTGCTATGATGTAGCATATTAGGGCGGGCCCCGTCATGGCATGATATCTACTGTGTGTTGCGATGCCATCGTTCATGTTACTATTCGTGCGATGTTGTGTTATGTTGTGGCGTGTTCTGTCATGTTATGCTACTGTATGATTGTATGATCTGGGATGCCATGTTATGTTAGGGCATGTTCTGATATGTTATGGTATGTGTGCTCCGATATGGCATGCCATGCGCTGTTATGCTGTGTTGTGGAATAGTATGGTATGTTATGGTATGTGAGGCTGTGGCATGTTCCGTTTCGGTATGTTCAGCTCTGCGATGGTTTTTTATGTTATGTTTGCGTTGTCGTGGCATGGGTTGTTATGTGTTGTGATGCTGTGGTATGGTATGCACTGCTCTGCCATACTGTGTGATGTTACGATATGTTATGTAATGCTACGGTATGCTACGCTCGGACTCCGACGAGCTTATCATGTTATGCCGCACTACTTCCTGCTATTCCCCAAGCAGTGCTTGCACTGAAGGGGTTCCGGCGGAGAGTCCCGGGTCGGAGATTGCAGGATGTGGCGAAAGTTCCGTGCCGAGTTCGGTAGGGGGCCCGGTCCCCGGGGTCCGGGCTCCCGGGTTCCCAGTTCCGGGTTCCAGGACCGATTTCGGTGTGAGGCGGGGTTCCCAGGCCCTCAGGCTCCCAGGTTCTTGGTCGATCTTCTTATCGATCGGTCTGACCATCGATCTCATGACCCACCTCTCCGCAGCGATCTCGCTCAGGAAGCAAAGACGGACATCGGGGCCAGCAAGAGTTGCCCACCGCATCAGATTTCGGGGGGAGAGCGTGGAGGGGGTGCGTTTTGAGAGAGGGTCCCCTTCTCCCCGTTCTTCTTCCCTCCGCCTCCCCCTCCTCATACAAGGCCGTGCTGGCTCAAGCCAGAACGCAAGTCTTGGGGTGCTGGTGAAGGTCGTCTCCTCGGTCTGCGTGAGGTGGTGCATAGCTGGCGCGCACGTCGGACATGACGACGGGCCCAGATGACGCGACCGCGGGGGAAGCAGCGAGTACTGTGGCGCCTACTTCGAAAGCCGATGTGGCACTGTGGTTCGCGGGCGCGCTCCTTGGACCCCGGTACCCCGCTTTTCACAAGTTCGAGCCTCCGTCGAGCGCTCGTCTAGGCGCGCGGGTCACAGCGGACGAACATGGACGTGTTGGTTGGCTCTTGTTTTGGGCTGTGAAGGGGTGAAGAGAAACGACCCCGAACGACATTCTCTACGATCGAGTCGAGCGATGTACACAATGAACACCAGGCCGCCACTGGATTGTGTCGAGAGCGGGTGTGTTGCCGACTACTGGGGGATGGCCAGGATGGGATGGCGCCGCCCGCCAAGAAGGGACCACCGCTTGCGGAAATTGGCATGGCTGCGCGACCGCGAAAGGCCGCCGATGCGCGAAAGGCGGGTACAGCCGAGACGCTGAGATTGGGACCACTTTGGTTTCAGGAGGGGCTTCTTGGCTTTCGGGCCGACCCTTTGATCTTGCCGCTTCAAAGAAGCTCTCTTGTGGGCGAGGCTCGCCGAGACCAGAAAAAAGCCCTTGCGTTCCCGATGTTGTTTTCCTCACGGCAGCACGAGGACCGCACACGACGCTGACGGCCGCCGAGGCGAGTACGCAGTAGCGGGACTTGGGGGTGTTTCGGGTACGCCTGCTTCGGGAAGTTGGGACACTCGTGTCCTGCGTTTGGGGGGTCTCCAGCGCGCTCTGCCTTCCGCCTGCCAACGCCTCCCTCCTTCTCCCCCTGAGCGGGGCCTCACTCTCGCGTGCGGGAGTGGCCCTCGAACGCTGCCATGGACGCAGCCCCTGCGCCCATTGCCGTTGTCTGCTCTCGACCTTCTCATGGCCTCCGTGTGCGTGTGTGTGTGTGCGTGTGTGTGTGTGTGTGTGTGTGTGTGTGTGTGCGTGCGTGCGTGCGTGCGTGCGTGCGTGCGTGCGTGCGTGCGTGCGTGCGTGCGTGCGTGCGTGCGTGCGTGCGTGCGTGCGTGCGTGCATGAGTGTTGGAAGTGTCCTGTCTTTTCCCGCCCGTTGTTCCCCTCGTTCCCTCGTCGTGTCGTTGCTGGGCTGTGGCCTAGGATTGACTTGGGGGAGACTTTGGACTCTCTTCCATTGCGAGCCTGCCGCTGGGAGGATGGTGCCCATGCAGGCCGTCACGGGCCTCTTTCTCAAGGGACGGTCTTGCTTTGGGCCTGTGGCTTCCCCCCAAAGAGGCTGCAGGCTATAGCCCCGTGCTATCCGCAGACCTCTCTAAGTGCCACAAGCTAGTTCGCACAGCGTTGCAGGCAGCGGAACTCACCAGGGTCGTAAGCGTTCCAGTCCAGTCTAGTCCTCCTCCTCCTCCTCCTCCTCCTCCTCCTCCTTTTGCTCCTCTTTCTCCTCCTCTCCTCCTCATCCACGTGCTCCTCCACCTCCTCCTCCTACTCCTCGGCCTCGGCGTGCGGTGGGACGGCGTTGCTTGTCTTTCGCTCGTTGAGACTCCTTCCTCTACAGCTCTGGGCCGATGATGATGATGATGATGATGCTGATGATGATAATGATGATGATGATGATGATGATGATGATGATGATGATGATGATGATGATGCTGATGCTGATGCTGATGCTGATGCTGATGCTGCTGATGATGATGATGATGAAGAGGAGGAGGGGGAGGAGGAGGAAGAGGAGGAGGAGGTTGATAATGATGATGATGATGATGATGATGAGGAGGAGGAGGAGGAGGAGAGCCGTAGGACTGGAGGTTTGGAGGTCGGTGCCCCTGCCCCCCAGGTGGAGGACGCATGGCGCCGCCGTCTGGCGCAGGCCACGGACGGCCTTGCCGCTGCCGAGGCCGAGGTCGCGCGCCAGCGCCGGCAGCACGCGGAGGATCTCGCGCGCGGGGCTCGGGTGCATCCCGCCGCCAGGGGGCGTGACGGGTCAGGAGGGGAGCAGACCTTGAGGTTCTTCCCCATCTGCGGCCTCCCAGGGTTCTCCCCAGGCGTCTTCGAGTCATGACAAAAATCACGGCGGGCGTTTTTTCCCGCTATTTTCAGGCTCCGGGGAATTTTACCGGGCCTTGCAACCTCCGACAAAGAACAATTTGGATGAGAAATTTGTCCCAGGGAGTGGGTCGCGACCTCCGGGAGTCGACGTTCTGAAAACATCATGACGTCGAGGGTCTGGGTTCACTATAGGCTTCCCAGATGGGGTCCGAGTAGATGGGGTCGGAGGATCTCGCCACATCGCCGATGTATCGGCGATGCGGCGTGATATGGAGAGGAGCCCGATCTTCTCCACGCCGACGGCGCCGATGCACCGCCGACGTCGCCGATGCATCGGCGAGGCGTCGGCGAGGCATCGCTGGCCCTGTGGAGACCATTCAGCGACCTTCAGAGACTTCAGAGGCACCCACGGACCCTGGCGAAGCCCCCTGGGATTCTGGCGGACGCAGGACCTGCACAGTGGAAGGTTGCCAGCAGGGACATGTTTTTTCCAGCGTGCATTCTCTTCGCCCAGCATCGGAGGAGCAAGAGGTCATGACAATGATACGTTCCGAGTTTTCCGAAATTTCCGGGATTTCAAATATTTCCTCATGTTCCGCACCGGCAGTGCCAGTAGATCTTGCAGAAGTCCTGCAACGCATCCTGAGCGAATCGCACCATGACATCGTGCTCGCCCGACTGTATGATCTGAGCGTGGTTCCCAGACCTTTCGCCTCCCTGCCCAGCCGCCCGCCTTGTTCACCCGTCTGGTGCACGATCTGCTGGTCCGCGGCCTCTTCCCGCATCGCTGCGACCAAAACGGGTAACCTTCCCGAGGGTGCTCTTGTAGCCTTGCCTCTGCGGTCCATCCTTGAACACGTTCGAAGGCCAGCCCCTCTCGAAATTCCTCGACATGGACGTCCAAGGCCCTTGCATAGTTATCGCGCAATCGTCGGCGGCCAGCCCGGACTGGAGGTGAAAAGGGGGCGGGCCTTCTCAGAAGGCTCGGAAGTCCCCCAGCCTTCTGAGAAGTTTTCTAAGCCTTCCCGGAAGGCACAAAAAACTGCTCAGAAGGCACGAGGGATTCTGAGAAGTCCCGCCGCCTTCTGAGAAGGTCGTCTCCTTCTCACTTCGCCCCCTCCCTCCCCGTCGACTCGTTGCTATCAGTTTATCGTCTTCGTCGACGCCGCCGTCGTCTGGCCAGAGCAGCGCTGGGGATGGCACGGCTCCCGCTGCCCCTCGGCGTCGCGGGCAGCGGCGCCGCGAGCGCCCCGGGGCTGCTTCGGACGGGGCTGGGACGAGGATCAATCCATTCCTCCTCCTCCCTCCTCCCTCCTCCTCCTTCCTCCTCCTCCTCCTCCTCCTCCTCCTCCTCCTCCTCCTCCTCCCCCTCCTCCCTCCTCCTCCCTCCTCCTCCCCCTCCTCCTCCTCCTCCCTCCTCCTCCTCCTCTTCGGCCCCTCCGCTTGATCTGCTCGGACGGGGCTGGGAGAGAGCGTTCCGGAACGCTGTCAGAGCGTTCGGGAGCGCTATGAGAAGGCCGCGGCGCCCGAGACATCCAGAGCCGTCAGATCACAGAGGTTCTCGATGTTTCCTCACCCGATCTTATCCTCGTCCTGGCTTCGTCTCACTGCGCGACCCTGGGCCCGCCGCCAGGTCGAAGCTCGAGGCCGTCCACGACGTGCTGGGTTCGGAGGTGTTCTTCGGGGCGCTTCGGGGGCACCTCGCCGTCACGGCGAGGCGCTCATCGAAAAGCTGGCCACCCTGAGGTCCGACGCTGCATGAAGATTGCCACATCGCGAAAGCTCGTGGCCCGAGCCCTGGACGCCATCGCCCTGCGGCACCCGCGGCCTGTGTGCGGGCCGCCTTGCCCCCGCGCCCTCCCGCCCCCCTCTCCTCCTCGACCGCGCCTCTCCGCCGCTGCGCTTCTGCGCTGGGCAAGAGTGATGATGGTTCGAGCATGCGGTCGATCTGTGAGGCTCCCGGGGACCGAAGCTCAGAGGAGACAAAGGCACCCATACCTCTACCCCTCACCCCTTTTCCTCTTTTTGCGGGGCCTCCTGGGAGACCCTCGTCGCCGCCGCTGGGTTCGCCTCGAAATTCCGGTCAGAACGCACCCTGGGAGAGGTCCAGGGGGTGGCGGTATCGGTACCTCTCGGTCTCCCCAGAAGCCAGGCCGAAACACCCGTCGTGAAAGAAATGCCACGCCCAGATCTGAGGCCACGGTAGGTTCGCGTCGTGTCGACCGGCGGCGACCCCGCCGCCAGCGTTCAACGTTGACCGCCGGCGACCCAGAATCGGTCGATGGTGAAAGATTTGGGCGTTTCGGCAACGGCCGATCGTTAGGGGTGAACGACCCCCACGGTGTCAGGAAGCAGCGCCAGGGCCGACGCGACACGACCCTGCCGTACGGGGCGCGTGTTGCGCACTGGGGCGGCTGAGATTTGGGCCCCTCGCTCGCCAACGGCGGGGGGGTGGGCAGCGCCGCTGAGGCGTGAGGAGCTCCGGGCGGCAGAGCTGCGCGAGGGGCAGCTGCAGCGCGAGGCGCGGCTCCGCGCCCCTCTCCGACGACGACGACGACGACGACGACGACGACGACGACGACGACGACGACGACGACGACCAGGTCGTCGACGTCGTCGCCGCCTCGCCCCGCCGCCAGGGTGCCCCGCTGCTCGCTGGCCGCTGCCTCGTCCGCCCCTTCCTCCGCCCGTCCGCGCCGGGGCACGCTCAGCGGCAGCCTCTTGCTGTCTGGGCGCCATCGCTCTGCTCTTCGCCCTCGCCTGGCCCGTCGCGCCTGGGCGCCGTCGTGAGCTCAGGCTGCCGCCCGTCTCCCTCTTCCCCCTCTTTCTCTCCTCTCGCCTCTGTCGTTTTGTCCCCCCACCCCTTCTGCGCCCGGTTCCTCGGTTGGCACCGGTCGGGGGGTGGCGGGTCGAGGGCGGCGGCTCTCCCTGGCCGGGCGTGCGTGCTCCTCCGTGGGGCCCCCTGGAGGCTTCCAGTCGCCACGGCTGGGTGCGCGCTCGGAAAAGCCAGGGCCTGTCGGGTCATGCAACAATCATTACAGGAGGTTCTTCGCGATTTTCTGCTTCTTGGGGCGCTTAATCGCAGGGAGTCTTTAATGCTACACCTCCCCACCCCTAAACTCTCTTCGTCCTTCTCCTCCTCGCCCTCCTCGCTCTCCCTCCTCGCCCCGCCTCCTCGTTCTCCCCTCCTCGCCCTCCCCCTTGTCCTCCCTGTCCTCGTCCCTCCCCTCCTCGCCCTCCTCCCCTCGCTCTCCCTCCTCGCCCTCCTTCTCCTCGTGCTCCCCTTCCTAAGAATCCTGAGGGAGTCCTAGGGACTCCCTGCGGATTCCTAGGATCCTCCCTACCCCGTGCTCACTTAGGGTTCCTCCTCCTCCTAGCGGAATCGTTTTCTGACTACTGCTCGCCTGTAGGTTGTTGTTGGGTGGGCATTTCTTCTGGTGGATTTGCCCTCTGCTCTATTCTTCACGGCAGAGGGACTTTGAGCTTGTTTGTGCAAGGATTGCAAGATTATTCGCTGCATCTCCAATCGAGTCGGCGCGTCGTCGTCGTCGTCGCCGTCATCGTCTCCATCGTCGTCGTGTCCATGTAGGAGTCGCACATATACTCGTGAGCAGAGGGGGCTCGCCATAGTTGTGGTGAGCTTGGTCGGTGTGTGCCGCGCGCGCAATCATTTCCCCTCTGTTGTTCGCCTGTGGGTTGTTGTTCGGTGGCTATTTCTCCCGGCGGATGTTGCCCTCTGGTCAACACTGCACGGCAGAGGAATTATCAACTTGCTTGTAAAAGGATTGAAAGATAATTCGCTACATCTCTCATCGATTCGGCGCCGTGTCCTCGTCGTCGTCGTCGTCGTCATTATCGTTTTCGTCGTCGTCTGTATATGGGGAAGGTACCCTAGGAATCCATCGGAATCCTGAGGGAGTCTTTGGAATCCTAGGAATCTCAAGGAACACTCAGGAGTCTTAGGAATCCTTGGGGTTGCCAGGAATTCCTAGGAATCCGACCTTGGGGACTCTTAGGAATCTCCAGGAATCCTAAGGGGATCCTAAGAAACCTCCGGAATCCGAAGGAACCCTTAGGACCCCTACGAGTTCATAGGAACCCGGTAGCGGGAGTATGTTCCTAATACCGCTTTCGGTGCCAATCCGGCAACAATCCCGCGCAAAACAAACATTTAGTTTCCATTCTAATAGGGGGATTCTTCGACGACCTTCTGCCGGGCCTCGGGGCCGCCAAAATCGATTCGGGAGGAAGAGCCAGTCCCGAAGAGTGGGTCGAGACGTCTGGGGGTTGACGCCCTGACGAAATCATGACGTCGGGGTGGGCCTGGGAACGGGTCAGGATACAGTCAACCCGAATAGTAAGGATGGGCAACCATCCCAAGGGTACTCTTGCATCCGTGCCTCCTCGGCCCGTCCTTGGCCACTTTCGTTGGCCGCGCCCCGCTCGAAAAGCTTCGACGTGGCCTGCCAAGGCCCCTGCATCCTTATCGCGCATCCTTACTATACTGGTCGACTGTACCCCTCGAGGAGGGCCCGGGGGCCGATCTCCAGCGGGCTTGGGCCGGGCGGGAGGGCCGCCGTCGTCCTCCTGCGGGGGCCAGGAGCTCCTCCTCCTCCACGGCCCCTCCGCGCGCGACTCGCCCCCAGCGGCGGCGCCGGATGTGGCCCGAGGGCGGCGGCCCGGAGGTCCAGATGCTTCAGGAAGGGGGGAGACGCACAGACGCAATGAATCGACGACTCCCAGGCAAGCATGGGACAACACAGGTCATGTGGGGGGAGGCCAAAACTCAGAAAATCTGGGAGATCTGGGGAATCCTGGGATTCGTGCGTATCTATTTGTGTGTCCCTGGGCCCCTCCAGTGCTTCACTCCAGAGGTGGCATCAGGGCTGCCTCAGAGGGCGCACGCCCCCCTGGGGAGGTGCGCGGGGGTTGCTAATGAAGGGGGTAGGGTTAAGTCGGGCCTGTCCCTCTACAGGGGGGATATTCAAAGGTATTAAAAACAAATGGTCGTGGGACTAAATTTGGAGTATTTTTTGATCATTTGGGGTATTTTTGGTTAGTTTTTATTGTCCGTCGAAAATCCCCCTCGTGTTGACCATGTGTCGTCCAGCACCCGGCGGGCTAGGAACACTGCGTCTGCCGTGCCCCGCCCGCCGGGTGCTGGACGACACATGGTCAACACGAGATGCAAGTCGCTTGTTCCTGGCACTCGACTGGGCCAAGGCATTCGACTCGGTCTCGCCGGACGCGCTCGCCGGGTCTTTGCGGAGATTTGGTTGCCCAGAAGTTTTCGTGGACGTCGTCGTGTCGATTTACAGCGAGCGCAAGTTCGTCGTGAGGGACTTCGGGGCCACGTCCAGCATCCATCAGCAGAGGTACGGCATATGCCAAGGCTGTCCGCTGTCCCCTTTTCTGTTCACCATTGTGATGACGACGCTTCTCACGGACGCGCACGCGCTGCTTCAGAGTCGTGCCGGACCGATACCTGAAAACCAGTTTGCGAGGGAGCTCGTGTACGCGGACGACACGTTGCTCATAGACTCCGACCCAGCCCTCGTTCAAGAGCTGATGCGCTGCATTGAGGAGTGCGGGGGTCAGTGCGGGCTGCAGCTCAATTGGGGCAAGTTGGAACTTATGAAAGTAAGATCCGAAGCTGATATTTTGGGACGCAACGAGGTCCCCATCCCAGCCAAGCAATCATTAATTTATCTCGGGACGTCTCTTGCTGCTGAGTCGGAGAATTGGGGCGGCCAGAAGTGACTTCAAGGTGCTTGCAAGAATATGGTCGCATTCGACTTTGAGTAGGAGACAGAAACTACGGATATTTAATGCTTGCATTGTTTCCAAACTCACGTATGTATTATTCACTGCGTGTCTTAACCAGGCCGAGCGGAGACGGCTCGACGGGTTCCAGAATTATTGTCTCAGACGTATTTGCAGAGTCTCTCCGTCGTACATCAGTCGGGTGTCGAACCGTACAGTTCTGCAGATCAGCCAACAGACGCCTCTGAGCCATAGTCTTGCGCGTAGACAGATGTTGTACATGGGCCATTTGGCGAGAAGACCAGACGAGGATCCAGTCAGAAGCTCGGTGTTTGAGCCGGGCGGTCTGGTTCTCAAGAGCCTTCTTGGGAAAAGGAGAAGAGGCCGCCCGAGACAGTCTTGGGGGCCCATGGTGCTGAAGAACTGCTTGAATGTTGCCGGCTCCCATGAGCGACTTGCTGATTAGTTCCGCCGAGAGGGCGGTGCAGCTCGCAGGTGGGAGCAGGCGGTCAAGGCATGGGCGGCGTGCTGAAGGCATCCGTTTCCGTGCACATTTTCACCCATTGCTCACGCGCTGTGGCCGGCGCAAGGCTTCTGTTCTGTTCTGTTCTGTTCGAAAATCCCCCTGTAGGGGGACACGCCCGACTTGAGGGCAGGGGGGGGTTACCCTTGCCTCGTTTTCCCCTTTTGGGACCTCCTGGGAGGCGCTCGTCGCCAACGCTGGAGTCGCCTCGAAGTTCCAGTCAGAGCGCACCCTGGGAGAGGTCCAGGGAGTAGCGGTGTTGGTACCTTGTCTGGTTTCTCCATAAGGGCTATCAGTGAATGGAAATGTGGGTTCCATTTGGCCTAGCCTAGGTAGCTTTCACATGGGTTGCCAATGTCCCAAGTGGCGTAGGGAGGAACGATCACTCCAGTAAGTGGGCGGAGTTCACATAGCCGGGATCGCCAGCCCCCCTGAGCCACGTGGGGCATTCGCAAACCAGCTACAAGGTAGATCATGCCGGATGTGATCCACGTTGGCATCCACTGATAATCCCTCCGTCCCCTCTGCAACCTTCGAGCCGTGGCATCGTGATCTTTCCGTTCCGCTCCGCCGCTCCGCCCCCTCCGCGCCGGAGCTCTTCCCGTGTCGCTGCCGCTCCCTTCCCGCTGCTGCCCCTCCCCGCTGGCTTCTGCCCCACCCTCCCGTGTGTCGATCCGTGCAGGCGTGCGCCGGAGGAGGAGGAGGAGGAGGAGGAGGAGGAGGAGGAGGAGGAGGAGGAGCGATCAAGATCGCATTGGGGATGCCATGGTCGGCGCCGTGGAGGAGAGCGCCGGTGTCGGCGCCAGGCTGACCGTCGCGTGCCCTGCCCTCGCCCGCTGCGAGCAACGCCCGCGTGGAGAGCCATAAGGCCCGCGCGCGTGGTGACGTCTCCGCCCTGTCGCGCCAAGCCAGATTCCCATGACAGGGGGCGCCAGTGCCCAGGGTGCTTCGCATCGACTGCGAGGGGAGGGGAGGGGAGGGGGCTGCGAACTCAATCGTGTCCGTTTCGTTTCCGTAAGTGTGAGACGAGTGCCACTTGCAGCTGTCCGTACTCATTGTGGCTTAGGGGCCCCTTGAGCCGCCTTTTGGGCAGTCAGAGATTTTACTTGCTGGTTCGAGAGCAAGCCAGGCTTCCGAGACCGAATATCAGAATATTCAGACAAAGAGATTTCCCTGGGACATATTCTTGGGCTGGCCTTCTGGGCAACACCCGGACTGCGTGCTGACCGACGCTAGCGGCGACGAGAGATTGACATCTTCGGCTTCGCGCGTGCTGAGGTAAAAGAGAGCTGAGAGCCACGGACCTAGAGAGAGAGTTGACGATATTGCATCGACATTTATTCAGAGACACCTATCGGTGATCCTGCATTAGTAGCGGAGCCGGTTGGCTCCAATACCTGGACAGCCGGCAAGAAGGTTCCAACGTGGGATGGAGACGTCACCAGATTCCAAGAGTATCGAGAGCGTGTGAAATGGTATGTGGCTGGTCTTTCACATCGAGACAAGCAAGTGGCGGGAGCTCGACTGGCAGCAACTCTCACTGGAGAAGCGTGGAAGGCGCTCGAGGAGGTTTCAGACGAAGGACGGGAGCTACTGGAGAAGGCGGGCGGCCACAAGATATTATTAGAGTTCCTGGACGAGACGCTCATGGACCAGCCAGTACCAGAGGCCGCGAAGTACTTGAAGGAGTGCTTGTTCACGCTGCGACGGAGGAACAACGAGGGCATGAAGGCCTACGCTCAGCGGAGCAGGATCGTCGCAGACAAGCTGGACCAGAGCTTCAGACGGACCGATGAGAAGGACAACGACGGAAATCAAGCTAGTCAAGAAGATGCGGCCCGAGGAGAAGACAGAGTCCGTGACGCTGGAGTCCACTCGGGAACGGGAAGGCCCTGAAGGCGACGATGAAGGCGCAGAGGACGACGGCAGCTGGAAGGACGAGAACGACGGTTACTGGAAGGGTAGCTGGTGGTACGGCAGCAGCTGGTGGTCGAGTTCACCAACAGGGTCGGCTGGCTGGACCTGGCCACAGGGGACGACGTCGCTGAAGGCACACAAGAAGGTGACGCTGAAGGAGAAGGCTACGGATGCGTTGTGCTCACTGATGGCGCGTTTTGACTTGGGGGATGATGATGCGGACATCAAGGCGCTGAAGGGGGTGGCGACGGAGGCGCGCGAGACGCTGATCCCGTCGGTGATGGCGGGATGGCTGCTGCTTCAAAGAGCAGGGCTCAATGCTCAAGAGCGCGCGGAAGTTCTGTCGTCGGCCAAGAACTCGCTGAATCTGAAGAACATCGAGGCAGCGCTGCGGGGCCAGTGGGCAGACGTGGACCTGAAGGAGCACGACGCGCACAACAATAATATATATATATACTCCCGCACAAACCTGGCCGTGGACGAGCATTAGGAGTCTCTGGTGAAGATGAAGATGATCGAGAGGAGGCCCCAGGCGACTACGACCCGGAAGACGACTACGAAGCCTGCGTGGAGTTCGACTGGGATGAGGACGAACTTGACTTCGAAGGTCTGGACGAGGAGGAACGCGCGGAGGCAGAGGAGGCACTGGCGGTCATCGCCGGAGCCAAGAAGGACGTCAAGAACCAGAAGAGGACGCTGGCACAAGCGCGGGCCGTGGTGAAGGATATCAAGCAAAGCCGAGGGTTCTTCCAGAAGGGCAGGGGCAAGGGCAAGAAAGGCGGCAACGGCCGAGGAGGGCCGTGCTTCATCTGCAGTGGACCTCGCAGGAAGGCCGACTGCCCGAAGAACCCGGAGCACCGAAACAGGGAGCAGCCGCGCGGACGAGCATCTCAGGTTCGAGCGTTGGCGCTCAGCTTCGCGAGCTGGGAGGCCGACGACGGCGAGCTCGAGGAGAACGACCTGGAGATGGCCTACGCGGAGTTCGAGGTGGAGCACGCGCTGGCCGGGCTCGCAGACGAGACGGAGGGGTGCATGGTGCTCGACAGCGGAGCAACAAAGACGTTCGGATCGATCGTGGCGCTCGAGAAGATCATCGAGAAGCAGCAGCAGGCAGGAATCGACACGAGCAACGTGAAGGTCGATGTGACAGATCGGCCGAAGTTCGGGTTCGCTAACGGCGACGCGGAGCAGTGTTCGTGCGGGGCGAATCTCCCGCTGCAGGCGAACGGCAATCTAGGGGGCGTGTCGGGCTATGCGCTGAACACCAAGGGGGCCACTACGTGCCGCTGCTGGGATCAGTGGATTTCCTGAAGCGCGCTGGAGCGATCATCGACTTCGAGACGGGGGTCGCTTGTTTCGACAAGATCACGAAGAACAAGGTGGCGAAGCTCAAGCGGATCTCGACGGGACACCTGTGCATCGACATGACGAAGGATCTCTACGACGCGAAGGTGAACCACACCGACAGAGAGGACTTCAAGCAGAAGCTCGAGGACTTACAGCAGGCTCTCGGCACTGCAAGGGTCGCGGCGGCCGATCCAGCCGCGAGCCCTGAATAGGGGCAGCGCCCCTCCTTCTGCGGTGCTGGTTTCAGGAAAACAAAGCCAGCATCACGTCACTGGATTGGGGGGCCTACCAGAACAGTGAGAGCAGAAGAGGGGACCCAGAGCAATAAGGCACCGTTTGAGACTTCCGAGGAAGGGAATTTCATGTCAGAAACCACTGAGGATGTTGTTGGCACGGGTTTGGAAATAAGACCGACGAGTTCCGAGCGGGAACGGGTTTCGAGTACGCGTGCGAGTCCGACGCGATCGACAGCTCGATCAAGGACTGCGAGTAGTTACTTCGACCCGATTTCGGAGATTTTCGGCGATCCGGACTACGCCGACACGATCTGGGTGCGTGACTCCAGACACGTGTGAGACGTCTTTCAGGGATCTCATAGGCCTGCGAGTGTTTCGAATGGGTTCGAGAAGACCCCAAAGCCCCAAGAGATGAAAGTAATAGATGCCCTACACGAGAAATGCGAAGTACCCCAGATAATCATGCATGATGGTGGCGGTGATGCTGACTGCGATCCGCAACGTGGTGGCTCAAGATCCAGATTTCAGTGGGTCAACGCCAAACGGGTGCAGGTCATCGGGGACGAAGCCCGGGGCGGCAGCGGCAGCTTCGACGCCAGCAGCCGACGTCCCGATCGACAGGAACAAGCACCGCAACATCAAGAAGGACAAAGACCTCGACGGTGGTTCAGGACATCGGAGGGGCAGTGGAGACCGACAGCGACGACAGACCGATCCAGAGCGATGGGGCAAGCGGACCATCGGCGAATGGATGACGCTGGATCGTCGGGACCTACGACTGGACTGGGACAGAGCGGAATCTGCCGACGAGAAAGATGATCGCTACACGGGCAAGCCCTGCTACGGCGAGCACGACCCGACACGCCCGCTGGCGAGGCACGCCAACGGCTACAAGGTGAGCTACAAGTTCGTGAGATGCGAGCTGGTCATGCTGTACATTCCGAAGCACGGGGCGACGGGCAGGTGCAGGCAGAGGGGAGCTCTGGGACCGACCGTGGGAAAATCAAGATCGAAGAAGTCACGAAGGAGAAGGTCACCAAGGAAAAGGCGACGTCGGAGAGAGAGAGAGAGAGAGAGAGAGAGAGAGAGAGAGAGAAAGTCGGACCAAGATCGAGGAGGTGTCTTCGGAGGACTCATTCGAGAAGGCCAGAAGAGAGTCAGAGGAGGAGGAGACGCCGTACCCGGGCACCGATTTGATGAGCAAGGCCGACATGATGTTCGACCAGATGCTTGACAGCACCACGCAGCGAACGGACCCACCGACGCGCAGGAAGAAGAAGGAGTCTCCCCAGGGCGGGGAGCCCGAGAGTCCCTGAGACCCGACACCGACGTCCCCTCAGGGGGCGACGACGTCATCACGTTCGGGATTGACGTCGAGTACCACAGGGAGGAGATCAACCTGAAGGACTACAGCTGGGTGCTAGAGCAGGTGGCGGAAGCTGGGATGGCGACAGACCTCTACGTGAAACAGCTGATCGAGTTTTGCACGGAGGAGGGCAGCCAGCTCGGGAAGGTCGCGGAGGAGCGCGAGGATGCCGAGATCATCAGGATCACCAGGAAGGACGCGGATCTCAGCACGGAGCACGGGCTGGAGTTGGCAAAGAACCTGGCGGTGAAAAACCCTGGAGCAGACATCTGGGGAAGCCTACCGTGCACGGCAGTCAGCGCACTTCACAGCGGCTACATCGGCAGGCAGGATGGCCAGCACTGGAAGAAGCTCGAAGCACGAAAGAAGAACCTCAAGAAAATTGTGAATCACTTCGTTGAAGTGAGTAGGATCGTCAAGGACAATGGGGGCGACGTACACTTCGAGCGGCCACGCAACTGCCATGGCTGGAAGTACTTCCCGGAGCTGACGGAGTTCTTCGGCGAGCTGGGCATGGAGAAGGTGAACTTCGACGGGTGCCAGGTCGGGGTGGTCAACACTAAGGGCGAGCCGATCTACAAACCGTGGACGCTGTGGACCAGCAGAAAGGAGCTCGCGACGGCCTTGAGCGGCAAACGCTGCCCAGATCCCCAAGGACACGGACATGCGGAATGCTGTGGGAAGGATGCTACCTTGTCGGGCAAATACCCTGCGAGAATGGCGAGGCTCATCTGGCGGAACATCGTGGAACCGCCGAAGCTGATGGGCCTGATCGAGGAGCTAAGGCAGGAGGAAGCCCTGGCGAACGACAACAAGGAGATGTTCGACCACGAGAGGGAGCTCGAGCTGACGAGCGACGAGCAACTGCAGTGGAACGACTTACCGGCGCTGAAGGAAAATGAGTTAATGAAAGCAGCGAGGCGGCTGCATCGGAATACTGGCCACCGACCACAGAGGGTGATGATCAGGATCCTGCGGAGACGCGGGGCTTCAGCGACGACAATCGCAGCCGCGAAGCAGATCAAGTGCAGCTCGTGCATCGAGAATCAGATGCCCAGACCGAGACCAGCAGCAGTACTCGAGCCAGCTCGAGACCTATGGCAGGTGGTCGGCATCGACGTGAAGGAGATCGTGGGCAACGACCCAGTCAAGCGGAAGTACCTTGTGATCGTGGACGAGGCGAGTAAGCTGACACTGGCGGTCAAGATCTTTTCAGTGCCCGCCCAGGAGTCGAGGAACTGCACCGCCAAGGAGCTGCTGGATGCGTTCAGAGGACACTGGTCAGATCGGCATGGCATGCCGAGCGTACTGAGGCTTGATCCGGAAGGAGCATTCGTGTCGCACGAGTTCTACGACCGCATTGCAGGTGAAGGAGTCCAGGTGGATCCGTGTGCCACCCAGGCTCACTGGCAGAATGGCATCGCGGGGCGTGCAATCAAGACGGTGTTCGAGTGCGCCAAGGCCATGCATCGCGATCATGAGACCGACCTGGAGGCGGCAGTGCATGCAGCGGTGGAGGCACACAACGCGGTTGAGAGGGTCGACGGCTACCGTCCGAGCCAATGGGCCTTCGGACGAGACAAGAACTGGTCGGGGACTCTCAAGAAGGAGGACCACCTGGACGTCGTGGAGTGCACGAACCAGAGCTACATGGAGAACCTGTCCAGGCGGGTGCTGGAGTCCAAGATCATTGGCGAGCGGATTCTCAAGCAGCAGCAGGCCAGAGCAGCGGCAGCACGAGACCAACGACCTCAACACTTGTATCCTGGGATGCTGGTCTGTGTGTGGAGATGTGGCAAGCAGGCCAAACAACCAGCACCAGCAGGACCACGACACCATGGGATTGACAAGGGCAGATGGTTTGGACCAGGGACTATCCTCGGGGTACAGACGACGAGGACAGGCGACGGGACGCTCGTTCAATCCAGAAAGGTATGGGTCGTGATGGGGTCGAGGCTGTGGAGGTGTGCGCCAGGACAACTGCGAGCGGCAAGCCCAAGAGAAGAAGAGATGTTCTTCGAAGAAAAGCACACACCCTGGACGTTCGTGGAAGGACTGGAGAGTCTCAACAAGGGTGAGGTGATTTCAGTGGACAAGGAGGACGTGCCGATGAACGAGGAGACCTACACACCGGAGACCACAGCTCGTGCACCAGAATATGGAGACAAGGAGGACCACTGGGAAGAAGGTGAGTTTGAAGGGCGACCCGCACATGTTCGAGTACATTTACGACCGAGAGTGGCGTTGTTTACGCCAAGAGGCTTCAGATCCAAGCCGGAGAAGACGACCATGGAGAGGATCACCGTGATAAGGTATGAGGATTGCTCCGAGGAGACGGTCAAGGACGACAGCTGGAACGTGCATGGGAAGTCTACGAGGTCAATGGGGCGAGGCTGGACTGGCAGGACCTACCTGTTTCCCATTGCGGACAAGCCGGAGGATATGAAGGTGGACCAGAATGATAAGGAGGGGATCCATGAGAAAGCGAAGAAGACGGTCGTGGAGCAGGTCCCGGAGACCCATGAGACACTGAGAAAGACCAGCCGTCGACGGATGACATCGTGAGCGAGAAGGTCAAGAACGCGAAACAGACAACTGCAGGAGAAGCAGATCTCAAAAGACGGGTCGCCGAGAAGAGAAAAGAAAGGAGGGCCAGGATGCGGACCAACTTCGGACCAGCACTGAGGAGCTACAGTGCATTCTTCAATGACAAAATCGCGGACGGTGACCATCGCAAACAATGGGACCAGAAGCTGACGGATAAGGAGATGACAATGCTTCGGGGAGCACTGGGCGAGATCCAGTGGGTGGCGACGCAGACGATGCCGAAGTACCAGGCGCAGTGCTCTATTTTCCAGAGCAGTGGACCGACGGCGACAGCGGAGACGCGCTTCGGGATCAACAAGCTGATCAGACAGATGAAGAACGACCGGGGCTACAAGCTGAAGTTCGAGAGCTTCGAGGGCGAAGGAGTGGTCGTGGGCTGGAGTGATGCAGCCTGGGCGAATCGACCAGACGGACTCTCGACAAGAGGATATGTGATTGGGATTGCGCCGGCGGACATCCTGAACGGAATGCGGGCTCCAGTTGGCTGGGTTTTGCATCGCAGTGGCAAGCTACAGCGCGTGGCGAGGAGTTCGTTGGCGGCCGAGGTCCAGGCGCTGACAGTGACGGAGGACGAACTGTTCATGGTCAGAATGATGTGGGCCGAGCTGAACGGTTTTGCATCGCACGTGGCAATGGGAACCGCGAGCGAGAGCAAGACGACAAAGTCGATGCTGGAGGGCGCGACGCAGGTACGATCGTGCCTGTGCGTGGACGCAAAGAGCATCTACGATTCTCTGGCCAAGCAGGTGCAGATGCAGAGCTTGGCTGAGAAGCGGACGGCGTTAGAGCTGATGGCCTTCGAAAAGTGCATCAATGAGACAGAGCTGATCGTGCGGCGGTGCCATTCCGAGGCCAACCTGGCCGACAGCTTGACAAAGACGACAGCTACGGGACCCATCGACCTGTACATGAAGACATGGAGCTGGGCACTGGTAGACGACGATGAGCAGCTCAGCGCTAAGAAGCGGAAGGAGCGGGGGATGAGCAGGTTCGAGAACAACAAGGATATCTCCGGTCTCATCAACATGGCATTCATGAAAGTGGGAGTGTCGCCACCAGATGCAGCAGACGGTGATGACAATGATGATGATAACCTGATAGTGAGTGAACCTACATCCTATGGCTAACGCCTGTGTGCCGCAGTTGCCTGTTTATTTTCTGTGATGCACCAGAGTGGGTGCGACCATTTAGAGGCTCTAAGCTGTTTTGTGGATTAGCTGCAACAAAGATTTCTGGGGATGCGAACTCAATCGTGTCCGTTTCGTTTCCGTAAGTGTGAGACGAGTGTCACTTGCAGCTATCCGTACTCATTGTGGCTTATAGGGGCCCCTTGAGCCGCTTTTTGGGCGGTCAGAGAATTTACTTGCTGGTTCCAGAGAGCCAGCCAGGTTGCCGAGACCGAATATCATAATATTCAGACAAAGAGATTTCCCTGGGACATATTCTTGGGCTGGCTTTCTGGACAACACCCTGACTGCGTGCTGACCGACGCTAGCGGCGAGGAGAGATTGACATCTTCGGCTTCGCGCGTGCTGAGGTAAAAGAGAGCTGAGATCCACGGACCTAGAGAGAGAGAGAGAGAGAGAGAGAGAGAGAGAGAAAGAGAGAGAGAGAGAGAGAGAGTTGACGATATTGCATCGACATTTATTCAGAGACACCTATCGGTGATCCTGCAGGGGCGGGGGGGGGAGAGCGTGGGCGGACGGAAGAGCCCAAGGAGCGTGTGGGTGGGGCGGGGGGGGGCGGGGGAAGGGAAGGGGGAGAGTGACGGAGCGCGGGGGAGGGAAGGGGGAGGGAAAGGGGCGCTGCCGACCCGCGACCCGTCTGGCGCTACTGCTGCTCACCTTCCCTGCGCCCTCAGCAGCCCGCCGCGGCCAACGCCCCGCCCCAGGCGGAGGCGCGGCAGGCGCTGGAGAGCCAGAGGCTGGCCCACGAGGAGGAGCCACCTCCCCGTGCATCCCGTGGCACGCCCGTGCTGGCTCTTCCTGTCTTGCCCCATGACGGGTCGCCTCCATCCTCCTCCTCCTCCTCCTCCTCCTCCTCCTCCTCCTCCTCCTCCTCCTCCTCCTCCTCCTCCCCCTCCTCCTCCACTCTCCCGCCGCTTCGGCGCAGGTGTGGCAGCAAACCATGGGAGCCTCGCATATCCTCGCAACTCCGTCTTCGGAGTGCACCAGCGTGCGCTAGCGTCTGCCGGTCGATGAGAGAATGCGAGCGCCGCTGGAGCGTCGATGGAGCGCCGAGGGGCGCAGACTGGCGTCGGCCCGCGTCGACCCGACAGAGGCAGCAGGACGGCATAGGGGGGCTCCTACGAGCGGCCGCCGAACGCAGGAGCTCGGGGCCCTGCGGCAAGCTCACGCGGCAGCCCTCGCGCTCAAGGCGGAGGAGCTGCGGCACAGGGACGCGGCGCACGCGGACGCGTTGGCGCTGCGGGAGCGCAGGTGGGGCACCCCCCCGTCGGGCCCCGCGCGGGCGCCGGAGGTCGCCCTTGCCGGGCGCCCTCTGGCTCGCAAGAGAGGGGGGGCAGAGAGGGGGCAGGGACGGGAGGAGGAGGAGGAGGAGGAGGAGGAGGAGGAGGAGGAGGAGGAGGGAGGAGGAGGGGAGGAGGAGGAGGAGGAGGAGGCGGAGGAGGAGGAGGAGGAGGAGGAGGAGGAGAGGGGGAGTAGGAGGAGGAGGAGGAGGAGGAGGAGGAGGAGGAGAGGAGGGGGGTAGGAGGATGAGGAGGGGGAGGGGGGTGGAGCAGCAGCAGTAGCAGCATCAGAAAGGAGGAGGAGGAGGCGATGGGAGGAGGGGAGGTGGGGGTGGAGCAGCAGCAGCAGTAAGCATCAGAAAGGAGAAAGGAGGAGGAGGAGGAGGAGGAGGAGGAGGGCAGAGAGGAGGGGCAGGATGAGGAGGACGACGAGGGTGGGGAGAATTCGACTGCGGATAACGAGGAAAAGGATGGCGACGACGGCAACGAGGACGAGGAGGAGGATGCGCACGAAGGGGGGGGTAAGGGGAGGAGGGGGAGGAGGAGGAGGAGGAGGGGTGATGAGGAGGAGGAGGAGAGGAGGAGGAGGAGGAGGAGGAGAGGATGAGGAGGAGGAGGAGGAGGAGGAGAGGAGGAGGAGGAGGAGGAGGAGGAGGAGGAGGAGGAGGAGGAGGAGTGAGAATAGTAGGCCCCTGGTACGACTTCAGACATCTCTTGAGGCTTCCTGCGTCGCCACCGCCGGATAGGGCAGAGTGCCCTAGCTGCTACTTTTTATAGCCACGGAATCGTAAACATACTGTGGCTCAAGGCGAGAAAAGCCCGCTTTGGTAGCGGAGCTATCAAGCTCCGCGGGCCACCCTCCGGTCGGCCGGCCCTCCGCGCGGCCAGCGCCGCGCGTGCCCGCGCCTCCGCAGGCAGATACGACTACTGCAAGTACTAGTGCGCGCTGGACGACCAGTGCGCGAAGTCCCGCGTGTACGCGGGGTACCACGACGACGACTTCCTCCAAGAGTGCAACGAGTACCGCGGGCACGCGAAGTACCACCAGCACATCGAGGAGGCTCAGGCGGACACGCCTGATCTACGGCACTGTTTTCTACTACTTGTACTTTGTTTTTTGTGGCGCCGACATGGCGCACCAGCAGCAAGGCGGCGACAGACAGCAAGGCACGCTTCAGCTCGAGGAGTTCACGAAGTTCGTTCCACCGGGCTGGCGCCCGCACATCAGAGGTTACACGTTCCGACGATATATGCAGAAGCTGAAGCTGTGGTGGAGGATCACCGAGGAGAATCAATATGAACGGATCGGCCCGCTGATAGTCTCACGACTTCAGGGGGCGCCCTTCACCGCAGCCATGTCATTCACTCATGTACGAGACGGAGTTCAGTATCGAGGAGATGAAGCTATCGCTCTGCCGGCACAGTTGGCCAATCCTCCCCATCAGCAAGAAGATCAACCAGGCATCAAGCACTTTCTGAATCAGCAGAAGGCAATATATGAATTACACGATCAGGATCGAGTTGGCATTGTCTTGGACTCATTCTTCGATTGCCGGAGAGGATATCATCAGGATATCCCGACATGGATCTCATCGTTTGAGCTGGCATTCGAAGATGCATGCGAGGAAGGCGGCTTGGTGATGAATGACACAGGCCGCAGTCACTTCTTGCTGAAGAACAGTGGATTATCGGATAAGAGGCTCGACGATTTGAAGTTACACGTGGCAGGTGATTTATCCCAATATCGAGTATTGCAGGGCCTGATGATGAGGCTCGGCAAACAGGACCAGGTTGGTCAACACAACGAGTGGGCCTGGTATGGTGAACAGGGAGACGGAGCCGATCCAGACGACATGGTGGAGACCTGGTATGAGGCCTACAACGACGAGCAATACGAATGGGGCTATGACCAGGATTTCGGCTGGACGGCTACAGCAGATGGTGAATGGTACTTCCAGGAATACGATGACATCTGGGCCAAGTACGATGACAGCGGCGAGATGACGGAGTACTACGAGGCAGAGCAAGACGACAACGACACCTACTACGGTGGCAAAGGATGCGGCAAAGGCAAGCGTGGCAAGAGCAAAGGCAAAGGTCGAGGACGAGGCGGATTTAGACGGCGCTTTCCCATGAAAGGCAAAGGACGTGGCAAAGGCAAAGGTCACAGCGGCAACGGCAACGATCGCATGAGCGGTGCAGGTCAGCGACACGACGGATGTGATATATGTGGAAGCAAATGGCATGATCGAGCTCACTGCCCCGCCAAGGATCGACAGCAACAGCAGCAGCCGCAGCAGCAACAGCAGAGCTCGACCTCGACGAAAGGCAAAGGTAAAGGCGGACGCAGCCGTCACTATGCAAACGTTGTTGGTCTCTCTACTTCGGACGCGACTGCAGCACAGGCATCCGCAGGATCGAGTTCGGCGGCGCCACAGATGACAACGAGGCCGCCTGGCTCTTGGATCAACGTTGCTACTCCGACTACCTCGACGGCAAGCACAATACCTGTGGAGCGATATCACATGGCTACCGGTTCCGAGTGTGCAGTACCAGAAGGTGACTCGTATCAGATCGACGCGGACGAGCCCTCTGACTGGTACACGCAGGCACCAACACCAGAACGGCAGCGACCGGTTCGACCACCCATACTGGGTTCAGCCTCTCCTTTCCCGGATGATCGAGTCAGCCGGACGCCTCTGAGATCGGTGCTTCGTGACGCGACGGCATCATCATCGGCAAGCGAGGCTCCAGCTTTGACGCTGGCCCAGAAGTTATCCAAGCAGTACGCTTTGGTGGTCATGAAGAACCAGGTGAGCATCACAGGTGGCACTGACAGGAATGACCAGAGGAACTCTTCAGATGACAATGACACGATGAACGAATCCACTCAATCATTTAGGATATCTGGTTGTCGGCAGACATTGCCTGCAAAAGCAGATCAATCACGTCAATTGCTTGGTTGTCCGCAGAGGCCGACATGCGATGATCAGCGACACAGCTCATTCCTGGAAGGCAAGAACGGCAACGATGACCCCTACGCGATACTGCATACAGTGAAAGGCAAGCCTCGACATGGATTGATCGTTGACCCAGGAGCAGCTGAAGGCCTACTTGGCACGGAGACGTTGTTGGAGTGGAACGCGGACTTGTATCAGCCTGAAGGCATCTCCTACAACATCCGGTCTTCTCAGGCGACCTTCACGGGCATCAACGGTCAAGCAGACCCCTCATGTGGCGAGTTTCTCGGACCGATCTGGGTCGAAGGCATGGCGAAGGGCACCACCTACCAGGCGGACATGATAGGCGGTCCTGGCGCAAGGTGCCCGGGCCTCCTGCCCAACAGCACCATGATCAAGCAAAAGTGCATCCTGTTCGAGAACATGTATCGCAATGGTGATGGCATCCTGGCGTTCGTACCGGACGATAAAGTCTCTACGATGGCTCGAGTATTGCTGACAGATTCTGGGCACTATCTTCTACCGATCGACGCGTTCAAGCCTCAGTCAGAGCAAGTGGTAGAGGAGATGGTCAGCCTGATCGAGGATCGGATATCCAAGTTGTTCTCAGCCCTTGATCATCGCCGGAAGCCCAAGGTTCAGCTACACACGGCCAGTCAACCACAATGCCCCGAAGCGCAGAATCAGAGTGAGATAAGTAAACTGGCAGCACCTTCGACGATACCGCCATCGAGACAGACATATGGATCTTATCAGAACAAGGACGCCACAGAATTCTATGATGTATGGAGACAGTTCGGCAGCAGTAGATACTCTCAAAATGAATGGCCAAGTAACTTCGAACATGCAGATTGTCATCGAATGGATCGAGAGTACGAGTTCATGGACGAGAAGTTTTATACGACATCTCGGTTACCGATGATTCGACCAGAACACGTTCGAGACTTCATTCAGCATATGCGTTCAGTAGCTCACAAGACGAGTCTGATGGTGGAAGTCTTTTCAGGTACCTCTGGAGTTTCTTGTGCAGCCTATCGGAATCACCTGATAACTTTACCACCTATCGACTATCGCTATGGCTGGGATCTACATCAACCAGATCATCAGCAGCTGCTACTTGAACTACACGAAGCTTTTGTGCCATTATTTTCACTAATGGAGTTCTACTGTCGACCCTGGTCTCAATCAAATAACAACGCGGAGCCTGTTGAGTTGGAAAGCAGGCGAGACTACGAACGACCGATATTGACATGGACAGCTCAGACGTATGCGCCCGCACTGGAGCGCAGAGGAAGTCAGCTTATCATGGAGAACCCATCTCGATCAGCTATCTGGAAGCAGTCTGATCTTCGTCTGATCCCAGACATCCTGATGCGCGAGATGCATGACAACATTACTGACCAGTGCGCGCATGGAGCTTGGAGTGTGGATCTGAAGTTGCCGATTCGCAAGAGGACCTTCTTCCGAAGTTCGACTCGGCTGCGAAGCACATCCAGATCCTGCAAATGCACAACACCACATGCGGAGCTGCAAGGCACCGACGACAAGGGTCGCAAGCGAACGGCTTTGGCAGCAGTTTATCCAGTTGGGTTGTGCCGATCATTGGTCAAGGACATGGTCAAGCACATGCACTCCTGCCGGACACAGGCTTACTGGAAATGCAAACGCTGTCAGCATGGTGCAGGTTCTGGGGTACCACACACACGAGAGGATGGTTGCAGATTCAAGCCGGTTCCTGGACCAGGAGCAGCTCCCGCTGCAGCAGCACCTCAGGCAGCAGCAGCACAGGTTGGAGAGCCAGCACCTCCTCCAGCACTAGCACCAGCAGACGAGCAAGCACCAGCACCAGCACCAGCAGCAGCAGCAGCAGAACCACCAGCAGCAGATCCGATTCCACCGCCTCCAATGCCAGTGGCATCACGACCGACGACATCGGCATCAAAGGTCACGATCATCAAGCCTTCATTCGACCTTGGCAAGCTAGCTCAGAAGTTGACACAGGCTGCCTCGGACGAAGAACGCATCAAGCTGCTCATGGGCCTTCACTACAAGTTCTTTCACCCTCCAGACTGTGAGATCGAGAGGATGATTCGAGCTCTTGGACTACCTGCACCAATTCGAGAGCTATGCAAAGGTCTGGCCGAGCACTGCGAAACCTGCTTGCAGCGACAGCGAGCTATGAACAAGCCGAGTATCAAGATGACCATCGCAGTTCGTTTCAATGAGCGCGTCCAAGCAGATCTGTTCTTCGTATTCGAGAAGACTTGGCTGATGATGATCGACGAATGCATCAGGTACCGCATCGCATGCCATTTAGCTACCAAGCAGGGCAAGGACGTTCTACGTGCAATGCTTGGTCACTGGATTCGGTATTTCGGGCCGATGGACAACCTGGTGATGGATCAAGAAGGCGGTATGACAAATGACAACGTGGCGCTGGTGGCAGACAGATACAATCTACGGCTGATATTTGGTGGAGCTGACGGACACACCACCACAGGCCTGGCAGAGCGAGCGATTCAGACCTTGAAGCTGACTGCTCTCAAGACGAAGCGCGACGTGATCAAGCAAGGCCTGACCGACATCAGCGACGAGGACATAGTGGAGGAATCAGCGATGGTGGCAAATCTCTTCATGAATTACGGCGGCTCGGTTCCAGCTCAAGGGCTGTTCGGATACATGCCTAAGGACGCCTACGATCCGGAAGCAGGAACCCTGACGGCTACTCAGAGTGCGATGGATCTCACGCCGGACCCGACCGAGCAGCATTTGCGCCTCAGGCTCTTGGCAAAGTCTAACATCCTGCAGGCCATCATCGAGGAAAGGATCGCCAAGGCCAACAATACACGTCAGCAAGCTCAGGACGCCAAGTGGATCGAGACGCTCAAACCTCATGATCAAATAGATATTTGGCGTACACCAGCCAGGAAAGATCAAGATGGCTGGCGAGGTCCAGCGGAGTTCATCAGCCTTGACAAGGACAAGGCGGCGGCCATCGTGATTCATCAGAATCAGCCATACAAGATACCGACAAGGAACATGCGAGCACGACGAATGAGCTTCTACGTCCTGGGCACATCCTGGGACAAATATCAAGTGTACCTCGGCAGCGGCAGCACGATGAAGCTCACGGAGTTATTCGAGATCATTGAAGGCACACCACCAGGTATCGTGTATCGCATGGGTATCTTCAACGAGCAACCGACACCACCGGAACTACTGCAGACACCTCCTCCGACATGGTTGCTGGCACAGAGTGTGGGTATGACCATCTTTCGGATGACGAGCGTGGACGGCATCATCTACGGTCAAGGACAACGACAGCTAAAGGGTCTGAGTGAATTCACACATGGAGTGATCGTGGCCTGGCGAGATCGACACCGAGAAGACTACTACAGCAGCGACATCGATCCGAGTCAACCGATCAACATGGTGAAGTTCGTAGGCGCCGACTGGGACAAGTACCATTTTCTATTATTGGTATCAAAGCATCGGTATGGTGACGACAACCCGGGCACCTACCAGCATCCTGATCTAAGCGACATACCGTTTCTTGACGACGATCCGTATGATCCACCCAGCATCTTGCAGCACACAATGCCCATCGAGGTGGATGATCAGACGATGCCTCCTGCCTCTCCGATCACACCAGCATCGCCAGTGACACCTGCAGAAGCACCACGACTTACTCAGACACCAGCGCAGCCAGTATTTCCATCACCCGCAGAGCAACATCAGGAACTGGCAGCACCTGAACAAGCGGTTCCGCCTATCCTGGAAAAGCTACGCGGTGTGATTCAGACGATCGCAAAGCAGAAGACCACTGCAGCAGCAGCGGCAGCTCGGACTCAGATGACACAGAGACGCGGCGATGACGGAGATGGAGTGTTTCAGCCATCAGCAGGAGCAGCATCGATTTCACCGGCAGAGTTCAATGACGGACTCGAGCAAGACCTTAGCCAGCTGATTGATGACGAGAATCTGGAACGGGAGATGAGCAAGCTGATGGAGATACATGAGGAAGTTGAAGCCCTTGAACGTAGTATTCATGCAGGCAGCGCCCAACAACTTCCAGAAGAAGCAGGAGCACAACACCCAGCATCAGCAGCTCCACGATCACGATCACACTCACCGAGACGACCAGATTCCGGGACCGCATCAACATCAAGGCAACTGGTGCCAGTCGCTGAACAGAATGACGACACCACGACCAGGACTCGGCATGACCCGAGAGCACGACAGGAGACCGATTTGGACGACAGCATCATCGACCTTGGACATCAGCGGAAACAAGCGCGACCAACTACTGAACCACTTCAAGATGGAACAGCACCTGGAGATGATCCGCATCATGATCGAGGATTTCAACCAGTTCAAGATGGACAAGCAGTCTCGGCTCAAACAGGCAGCCATGGCGAGGAGAACACGATGAATGTCAATGACTCTGGCATCCTGGCCAACGCGCTTGGTGAGTTGATGGAGGTTCCCGAGGTTGAGGTGACGAACGATCACGAGGACGAACCAATCCCGTTGCAGGACGCAGACGCACTGTACACGTGGTATGCAGGCCACACATCAGATAGATCAGTCATCACACATACGGAGGAGTTGGTGAAGCTATATGAGATCAGTCACTTTCCTGATAAGCTCTATCCAAGCCCTCCGGACATCACTACACATCATCATGCTGCAACGTCTCCATGGACTACCACAGATTCCTGCTGTATCTTCAAGGGCTTGGAGAGTCACGGTCCCTCGCGATGTTTCTACCTGGACTTGATGGATCACGAGATGGTGGAGATATATGCGTCCCAAGCCGAGCAATTGATTCAGGAATCCGAGTTCGAGAGTCTCTGGCCCCAGATAGAAGAATCCGACCACAATGAGATCAAGAACTACGTCAAGCACGACTGCTTCAGGCCCAAGTTGAAGACCGAGTGCAACAACGCCAACTTCATCGACGCTACTTGGGTCAGACGATGGATGTGGAAGGAGAAATGGGTCGTGCGTTGCAGACTCTGTGGACGAGGTTTCTTAGACAATCAGAAATGGGCTGTGGACAGACACTCTTCGACGGCAGCAAGAGTATCGCAAAGAATGATGGTATCAATAAGTCAATGTGAACCAGGCTTTGTGACAGAAAGCTGGGACATTTCATCAGCCTTCATGCAGGGCTTGAGGTTCAGTGAACTATCCGAACGATCTCGTGAGCTTGGACTAGATGTACGAGAGAAGCGCGAGGTCTACATAGCTCCCCCAGCGAACGTATGGCGCCACCTCAAGCAGTTGTCGGAGATGTTCGCCAAGATTCCGGATGATCAGCAACATCTATATGTACTTGAGTGTGTGAAACCAGTCCCAAGACTCATTGATGCTCCACTGCTATGGCAGGCAGCGCTGACGCTACACATCAAGGACAAGATGGCGGGCAAGCGAGCACTATTGGACGAGAACTGCTTTGTGTGGCATGACGACAAGACGGAGGAGCTCACGCTAGCAACTACAGTACATGTGGATGATCTCTTCCCGACAGGCAGGCAGTCATGGCTGAATTGGGCACATGATCTGCTGGAGAAGAAGTTCGGCAAGATCACGAGGAAAACCATGCCCTTCACTCATCTTGGCATCGAATATCATCGACTACCAGATGGCACTATCTTTCTGAGTCAGGACGCCTACCTGGACACGATAGAAGCACGACAGTTGGACAAGGAACGAAGTAAGAATGACGGCTCACCATGTACGGCCAGTGAGCATCATCAATATAGATCGCTATGCTGTCAACTACTTCATCTTCTTCAGACACGTTGGGATCCGAGCGCGGCCACGACACAGATGCAGACGAAGCAGACGGCCCCAACAATTGGAGACCTCAAGCAGTTGAAGAGTGTGCTAGAGAGAGCTAAGAAGAATCGAGAACGAGCAGGTCTGTACTATCGCAAGATGAATGGACCATTCCGCTTGGTAAGTATCAATGATGCAGCTCATGCCACCAAGACGACGTCGTATGCACATGAAGCTCAGGGGCTCTTCTTGATGGAAGATCGCGAAGTAGAGTTCAATCGTCATGGCATTGTATCGAAGACCTCATACGACAATGTCTTTGGTGCAGCTCATCCACTGATAGGTCAGAGCAGGAAATCCAAGCGAGTATCATATTCGACAAGTCATGCAGAGACGGTGGCAGCAGTCGGAGGTTCACAAGCAGCACAGTTCACGGCACTGAGGTTCACCGAGTTGATTGCCAGACCGACATTGGAGAAGACTGCTGGAGGTGCCCTCAAGAATCTAATGCTAATGCAGGATGAAGGGCACTCGATCATCCCGATCGACATCATCACCGACTGCTACGACCTCTACCAGCTCGTGACGGGCATGAAAGGAATTCCAGTTGACAAGACACAGCGTCTCAGCATCCTCAGTCTCAGAGAGGACAGACTATCTGGACGACTGCGGAGATTCTACCACTGGCCGACCGAAGTCATGGTCATGGACAGCCTCACAAAGCCAGGGCAGTTTCCGCAGATGCAGGATTATTTATTATCGGGAGTGATACGACATCGAGGACTACTCAAAATGAAGAACGGCATCGAGAACGTGATTACTGTCAAGGAGATAGCCTCCAGGAGCGAGTTCACAGAGAGCGACCTGGTGAACATCCAGGCCTAGAGGGGGCCGGGCCGATCAGTCGTAGAAGCACAGAATCAGAGTGAGAATAGTAGGCCCCAGGTACGACTTCAGACATCTCTTGAGGCTTCATGCGTCGCCACCGCCGGATAGGGCAGAGTGCCCTAGCTGCTATTTTTTATAGCCACGGAATCGTAAACATACTGTGGCTCAAGGCGAGAAAAGCCCGCTGGAGGAGGAGGAGGAGGAGGAGGAGGAGGAGGAGGAGGAGGAGAGGGAGGGGAGGAGGAGGAGGAGGAGGAGGAGGAGGAGGAGGAGGAGGAGGAGGAGGAGGAGGAGGAGGAGGAGGAGGGCGAGGAGGAGGAGGAGGAGGAGGGGGGGGGGAGGAGGAGGAGGTGGAGGTGGAGGAGGAGGAGTGGGAGGAGGAGGAGGTGGAGGAGGAGGAGGAGGAGGAGGAGGAGGAGGAGGGGAGGAGGGAGGAGATGAGGATGAGGAAAGGAGAGTAGAGAAAGGAGGTGAACGAGGAGGGGGAGGAGGAAGAGGAGGAGGATGCCTCCGCTGCTAGCCGCCTTCCCACCCCCCTCTCCGACCCCTTTGCGAGATCGGGCTAGTGTTATTAATGCTTCACGCTTCCGCGGCTCAATCTACGATTCGCACGCTTGCAACAATAATAGCGATGGGCCGATTACTTGAGCGCTCCACTACATTATTGAGCTGCCAAATGAACAACTTGTCCCCGATATGTTCTGTCCGATGTCATGCCCCCGCTCTGTTGTACCAGATAGTCTAGAGGACCGACATGAGCCCTACATTCACGAAGAACTTTCGGAGATGTTCCTCGGTCCTCGAGGGTCGAGGGCAGACCGCATCATGCAGCATCCGGCTTCGCCCCCCCCCCCCCACACAGTCTGGGGGTGGGAGAGAGGGGGGGCGGAGGACGGGCGTCGGCAGCAGACTCAGAGTGGAAGTGCGGCTGCTGACACGCCGCGCGAAAAAAACTAGCCTCGGTCCTGGAACGTCGAGTACAGAGTAGGTGACGAGGACTCTGGGGGGCACGCAATACATGACCTGGCGTGGGCAAAGGGGAGGCAACGATGGGGGAAACCTGGCCCCCCAATTTGGGTGGCCCAGCATGCCCCACCAGGCGTTAGAAGCAGGGCCGCCTTGCAAGGCGTCGACCACAAGAGAGGGACCCCGCATGCGCCTTCGTCCTCAGAAGCGCTCATAGGCACTTCTTGGGGCGCCACGGGGACGCTCTTAGGTGCTCTTGGGGGCGGTAACTGGGGGCCTCCTGGGTCCCTCTTGGGGCTCTTATGGGCCATCGTTGGGCCTTCTTGGGGTCTCCGAAGCCTATCAGACGCGACGAGGCGAGAGTGCACACACACACACACACACACACACCAATGACTTTCTCTATGAGAGATGTTGGCCTCTTGGGCGAGCCCGCGGGGTCTCCGAGAGCAGTTGGAACCATCTGGTGGCTCTCTCGGGGCGGGCTGCTCCTCCTCCTCCTCCTCCTCCTCCTCCTCCTCCTCCTCCTCCTCCTCCTCCTCCTCCTCCTCCTCCTCCTGGCACCCGTGCCACTGGGAACCCTCCCCAGGAAAACAGGCGGGTAGCCTCCCGTTCGTTTCCCCAGGTGCTCATTCGGGACCTGGGGGGAGAGAAAAAAGGTAGTCGTAGGCCGTCCCAGCCTGCGCCACGGGGGAAGGGTCGCGCCTGGGGTCTCGGGGCTGTGCCCGACTCGTCCTTGTGGCGGGCGGGGGCAGTCCAGGGCTTCAGTGCGCGGCTTTTCCTTCCGTGCTCCGTGCCTGGGTTGTGGGTTTGTCACGTTTTGTTGCGACACCCTTGCGTGGCCCTCCCAGCACCCCGCTGGGACAAGGGTGGTGTCGCGGGTCTCTTATGGGGGGGCTCATCGGGGGATCCTTGTCCGTTCTTCCCACGGTCCCCCGCCGTGGCGTGCGTGGGGGCGGGCTGTCCCCGAGGGATTGGTGCCCCTCGGGTGGCTGATCGGGGCGGCACGCGCGGCGTGTCGCTATATGAGGCCTCGAAGTGTCAGAGCGGGTTTGTAGAGCGGTTTATCGGCTTGGTTGCTGCCTCCTGGCGCACGTGGCGCCCCCGGCGCGCGCGTCGGATACGTCTCTCGCCTTTTTCGCGCGTCTGCCGCGCTTCGTGGCGCAGCTGTCTTTAGTGGCGCGCGTCGCCTTTTGTGCGTTTCGCCGCGGCCAGCCTCCTATGCGAGCTCGCGCCGACTGCAGCCGCGATGATCCTCGCGGTTGGCCTAGGGCGGCGGGGGCATTGACTCGTCCGTTTCTGGGTTGCTCCTCTCCACTCCATTCCTCCTCCTCCTCCTCCTCCTCCTTCTCCTCCTCGTCCTCCTCGTCGTCCTCGTTCTTCTCCTCCTCCTCCTCCTCCTCCTCCTCCTCCGCCTCCTCCTCCTCCTCCCTCGGCATGGGCGCATCTGGAGGCCTGATGGAAGCCATCTTGGACTAGCCTGGGTCGTCTTGCGCCACCTGGGAGGCCATCCTGGAGCATCGAAGGCCCTCTTGGAGCTACATTGGCGCGTTTGGGGCACCCGATCCCTTCGCGACCGGGTCCAGAAAACCCGAGGGATGGGGGGGGGAGGTTACCCCTCCCCGATGAGGAAGAGGGCTTTGACGATGAGGTAAAGAATTCGTCAGGTCAGATCACCCACGTCCGCTGGTGAAACTTCGACCCTCAAACCTCGAGCAACGAGGAGGGGACGAGGGCCCGCCTAGAGGATTTCCAGGTTGCCCGTGCCTGAGATCTCCCTCTGTCCTCCCTCCTCCTCCTCCTCCTTCTCCTCCTTGTCCTCCCCCTCCTCCTCCTCCTCCTCCTCCTCCTCCTCCTCCTCCTCCTTCTCATCCTCCTCATCCTCCTTCTCGCTCCCTCCCTATTTCCTCCCTCCTTCCTCGTCCCCTTCTCCCTCTCTCCCTGCTCCTCCCTCCCTCCTCCTTCCCTCCCTCCTCCCTCACCCATCCCCCCCCTCATCCTTCCTCCCTCTCTTAGCGTCCTCCTTGCCCCTTGAGAGAGGATGCGGGTGTGCCGCAGCGCTGGCCGTTCTGCTCCTTCTGCTGCTTCGCCCGCCTCCCAGACCTCCCCTCGCGACGGGATGTTTTTGGGCACGTTCGGCCCCCCGGGGCTCCTAATGGGTCCTGGGGCCATCGAAAACGACACGGGATGAAAACGGGTCACGGGGGAAGAGTCTGTGCCTCTGAGGGTCTACGTCGCAGACAAAATCGCGATGTCGGAGGTCTGGGCCAGGAACTAGTCTCTATTCTGGAGTCTAGATGTACGAGGTATCGATGTAAGCCAAACAAAATCCGCGAGGTGCTCTTGCGGCCTGATTTCGTTTGCCTTTGTAGCCAGTGCATCGTGCACCGCGTTGCTTACGCGTTCAGCCCCGTTCCCCCCTGCGCGGTCGAAGTCGGAAGACATGTGTTGCGTGCATCAATGATCGCGTCTTTCATGCGAGGGTCGTTTCCCGTGCTTCGTTTGCCGTGCAGAGCCTTCAGGAAGTGGTCCGACTCGCTTTGCTGTCGTTGCGCGTTGTGCAGGTCCCGTCGGAAAGCACCCCTCGAGTTTGCATTTGTGCCTGGGTGGTGCCGCGATTGGCTGTTTCTGCGCGTGTGGATTGCCGTCTGAGCGGGATCCGCTTCAACAGAAAATTCCTTCCTGCCTCCTTCCTCCTCGGTCATCGCCGCCTCTTCCTATCCACGTCTTCTCTCCCTGGCCCCGTTGCCGCCCGGCGGGGTTCGAAGTTCGAGCCTCGAAGATCGATGTCCGAAGCTGTTTGGCATTCGGGGCCCCGGCTCGTCGCCGCGGCTCGAAAAATTGGTGCGTGTGGGCCCCGGGAGGGCCCTGGGGGCCACTTTATGGCCGGTGGAGACACTGTTACTCAGGCAACCAGTTCTTCGATTCGTTATGGAGATCATGCGTGACATCTCGCAGAAATGCACATACCGATATGAAGCGGCAGGCGGTTTTCATCGTTTCGGCGTGCTGGCGGGCTTGAAGTCTCGGCTGAGAAGGCTTCGGGGCGCCTGGGGCTGGGGTTCGAGGCGCCCAGGGGCCTTGCGGGTCCTGTGGGAGCTTTCTTGGTTTGGAGGGCTTCGCGGTCCGTCCAGAGGCCATATTGAACCGACTTCAAGGCCGCCCGGGCTGTCATTGAGGCATCTTGGGTCACCTTGCTTTCGAAAACGCGGGCCCATGACATGTTGCGAGGGGTCGCGGCCACTGTAGCGCGGTTAAGTTGCTTTGTAGGAGGATCAGGACCGTCGGGGGGGCGGAGGGGGCGCAAGCGGTGTCGTGCTGTTCGGGGGGGTGGGGCTCTTTGAATAGTGCAACAGCCGTATAAAACAGTTGACTGGCATTCCATTGCGCCGGTGCGGCGCAGGCGCGGCGGCGGATACGAAGTGGATCATGTGTGTCGCACGCGCGGGGGTAGCCCTGGAGATCGCCAGCCCATTGCTGGAGAGTGGTTGAAACGATTGGAGAGTTTCGGTCAACGCCTTCCCATAGCTTGTCGACTTGCACGTGTACAAGTATTTTCCATTGGAATCAGATCTGTTACAGGTATATGTTGGAGATCTGGTGTCCTTATGTATCACTGCCGAGCGCTGGGGCAGCTGTGCATTCCCTTTGCCGCTCCTGGTGTTCTGCAGGACCCGGCCCCTCTTCTGCAGGAACAGCACCTGCGGTGTCGCGCGCTTCTTCCTCCCCTCCCGCAGGCATTGCAGCTCCGGCTGGGCTCCTTGCGCGCGGGACGCTCTCTGCCTCTGCCTTCTTAGGCCCCTGCCGGGCTCAGAGGCGTGACCTGCCCGCCGACCACAATAGGGAAACAAAAAGTGACATAAACATAAAAACTCGGAGGTCCGCGCGGATTTCTCGGATCGGCGCTGGGGCCGCCGGCGGCGCCTCCAGCGCCGCCCCTGGCGCGCTCCGCGCGCCGGGGCCCAGCGCCGATCCGAGAAATCCGCGCGGACCTCCGAGGTTTTATGTTTATGTCCCTTTTTGTTCCCCTGCGCAAGGCGGACCCAGCTCGAGTCAGGCTCCCGGCGCGCGCCCGCCAGACCGCCACGGCGAGCGGCCGGTGCCGCTGGCTGCCGGCATGTGGCTGCGGTGCTGCAAAGCAAGACCGACGGACGACACCGTGGAGGTGACCGACGTTGCCGGGGAGCCGCCCTGGGAGCGGCTCCCGCCGGGCAGCGGCGCCGGGCGACCGGCGCCGCCGCCTGGAGCGGCGCCGCCGCCTGCTGGCATGCAGCAGGGCCGCTGCCGAGCGCTGACGGGCGACCCCGTAGAGGTTGCTGGGAAGATTTGTATTCGTATCCCAGGGCTCGAGCCAAGCGGTGCTTGAGGCGGTTTCGTGGGCCGTGTTCTTTTTGTTATGTCGTTTTGCAGCAGAGGCGGAACGAAGACAGAGCGAGGGATACGCACAACACGACGGAAACGGAAATGCGCCGTGTAGCTCGAGCCCTGCCATATCCATTACGTTTTGGAGTTTCGGGCCCCCTTCCCCAGAAACCAGGGGCGCAGTGGACATATGGATAAACCGTTGGCCCCCAGAGGCCAGATGTTCATCCATGGCCACTGCGCTTCGGCTCGTGGCGCCCAGGAAGTCCGGGACGCAGCGGATCTGGAGAAGGGCGCTGCCCCACAGAGGTGGCCGGCGCCGATGCCCGGCACTCCCTCAAGTCGGCGCGCTCGGGCGAGCCGCAGGTCTCCCCGCCTGGCGCTCGGGAGGGCCCCGGGAAGCTGCCGCTCCAGGGTGCCGTCGAGGACCCCTGCGGGCTGCCGGGCGAGATCGTTGACGACGCCACGGCCTGCGGGACCGAGGGCGTCGCGTCCTCGAGTCCGTCCTCGCCGTCCCACGTCAGGCTCGACGTCGTGGGCACCGTCGGCGGCGCGCTCGGGGCGGCCGATCGCCCCGACTTCACGGGCTCCTGGCAGTGCATCCGGGTGGAGGGCGACATGCACAGGTTTCTCCAGCACATGGGCCTGTCGCCGATCATGTGCGAGGCAGCGAGGGGCAAGGCGAGTCCTCATTCCCCAGGCAGTGCTTGGCTTCATGGGGTCCTGGCTCAGCTCAGGAGCTGGATGAGGTCGCTGGGGTTTCGCCCTGTGGGCGCCTCGCGTGAGGAGGTTTCGCCTGGTGCTCGCCCGTGGGCGCCTCAGAGGCGCCTCGTGGGCGCTCGAGCGGTGGGCATGCGTGGTGAGGTTGCGCCTCGTGCCCGCCCGTGGCTCCCGGTGGGCGCCTCGTGCGCTGGGCGGCCGCACGGATCGCACGGCAAAGCTTCTGCGACAATGCTTGCACCACATAGCGTGCACCACGTAGCGTCCGCCAGATAGCCAGCATCGCACAGGTCACGCAGCACAGGTCACACCACAGGTATTGCTCTGCGCAGGTTCACCACATAGCTGATGCCACGCAGCTGTCACCACAATGCTTGCACCACATAGCTTGCCCCACATGGCTTACACCACATTGCTTGCACAACATAGCTTGCACCGCATAGCTTGCACGGCATAGCCTACACCACATGTAGTGCACCATGGAGGTTACACCACAGAGCTCTCACATCTGGCTTTCTGCTTTGGGCCCACGCTTGTAATCACCGAAGACATGTAATCATAACGTAATAGCTTAAAACGTGCGCGAGGCCGCGAAGAACGCCCACTACGGGGCAGGCCACCAGCTGCAGACGATCAGTCAGGAGGGCGATTTCCTCTCCGTTGTCGATCAGCTGAAGGTCACTGTCACAATGAAGTGTCAGGTTGGTCTGGGTCCTCAGAGGTCCTTCGACCTGGAGGGCAGGTCCGTCACCGTCACGCCGACGTGGGACGGCCAGACCCTGTGCGTCGAGACCACGACTGGGAGCGGAGAGCCTTTTGCGACCAGCCGGCGGTTCTACGAGGGAGACGAGATGGTGCTGGAGCTCACGTCGCCGGCTGGAGCCACCACGAGGCGCATCTTCTGCAGGAAGGGCTCGACCAGACACCTGAAGTCGATTCGGTCGACTTGCTCGACACGGCTGACATGGGCGACTGAAGTTCCATGAGCATGCGCAGGATGCCTCCTCCTGGATCCCAGGCTGCCACCTGATGCCAGTCGCCGTGGTATTCGCCCAATGGTTTGAAGGAGTGCCGGGACGGACGGAGCCGCCCGACGCACCCGGCCAGCCCTATGGGGAACTCGGCGAGCCGCCCAACGGCGAAGCTGTGGGGCCAGGCGTCGGCGACTACAAAGGGTAGGGTTGCGCCGGGGTGTGGTCTGCGATCGGCACCGTTGGGGCCTGGGTGGCACGACGCTGTCCTCGTCGGGCCTCCTCGGGGCGCGGGAGAGCTCTATCGAAGTCCCCGCGCGCCCCCTGGGGTGCCCCCAAGGATGTTTCCCAGGGTGCCGGTTGCAAACCGCACCCTCTGCAAACCACACCCTCTGGAGTCGCCGAAGCCGTGGAAGTTTCGTCAGCCCAGAGCCCTGGAGGGGCAAGCTTGGGCCGAGCCCCTGTTTTTTTTTTTCTTGCCGGCCGCCGCCAGCACGGTCGCGTGCCGTGGAGGCGGGCTGCGCGATCGCGATCGCTCTTCCTCTGGCTCTCGGCCGGGGGTCTTGCTGCAGATGATCCCACGCAGGGAGGAGGAAATAGTGACGGAGACCTCTGGGCACAACATAGAGCCACAACCACAGTTAAGTGGATTTTTCGGGAGGGCCCATCGGGGGACAACCCACCGACTTCGGCACGAGCACTTTGGTTGTGGTTGTGGTCGGTTTGGCCGATCTGGGACGCAACATCGACCGCAACCAGTGCAAAGCTAGTTTCGGTGTTCTGACCATTGTGGGCATGCGCACGACAGCCCCCAGAGTGTGTCCTCGATGTGGTTGTGGTCGCTTGCTGTCCCCGCAGGATAGCCCAGACACCTCGGGAAACCTAAACGGTCTGCGCCAGAGACCGCGCATCGCAAGCAGAGGCGGCGAGCGGCTAGCTCCACAAACCTACTACAGCAAGTCAAGTTTTCGTTGGGGGACCAACCAGCACGCGCGCAACTCGTTCAAAGACGCCCTAAGCGGTGATGAGAGTAATCAGGCACGCGGTGGCTGCCACGCCGCCATACATGCGGCACGACAGGCATAGCTTCGAGCAGTTTCCCTTTATGCGATTGTGGCAGGCAGCATTCAGTGCGACAGGCGGGAAGGAGGATTAGAGAGAGGGAGCGACAGAGACACACATACATACGTAGATCTATATATATATAGAGAGAGAGAGAGAGTGAGAGTGACGAGAGAGAGGGAGAGAGATACAGAGCGAGTAAAGGACATGGACAGTGTGAGTAGTTATTTTGTGTATGTGGGGGGGGGGGGCAGACTGTAACCTTCAGGAGAATTATAACAAGAGGCAGGCTCGAATCGAGCACGGTTTCCTTTCCTGCGGGCGCCCCCGCGCCGCCGTGCACGGCCTGGTGCGCTGTGGCAGCGGGTTGCGCGCTCGCAGGGGCCGTACTCTCTGATTTCGCCAGGTGAGTGGGCGGTCTGCAGTGCGCGCCCTGGTTCTGCGCTCCACGAAACAGTGAGCCAACACACGTGCGCTGCTGGTGGCGCCGCTGGCGCCTCGGGTTTCTGTCCCTGGTTGACGGCGGTCGGAAGAGTTTTTCTTCAAGAGGCTTACGCCATCCCGCGGGCCCCAAGAAGAGGCGTGGAGTCCACGATTGAGGCGTCGTGGGTCTCTTGGGCGCTATGTGAGGATTCTTGTGGGCGTCGTGGGAGCTGTTTTGGAGCTTGACGGAGCCGCTTGGAGGCAGCTTTGAAGCGTGCTGGGGGCCGCCTTGGGGTCTCTTTTGGGCAGATTGGGGACCTCTTGGGCTTCTTCGGGGCCTCTTTTGGGCCGCTTGGGGGCTTCTTGGGGGGCCTCTTGGGAGAAAGATTAGACGTTCGGTTCGTGTTCTCGCTCTTTGCCTCTCTTGGGGCCCTCTTGGGGCGATCTTTGGCCGTTTTGGGCCCCTCTTTGGGCCTTCTTGGAGTCCTCTTGGGCCGTCCTGGGGTCCTCGTAGGGGCCTCTTGGGGATTTGGGGGGCGGTCTACAGGGCCTCTTGGGCCGTCTTGAAGCGTCGGAAGCTCCATAAGACGATAACCCCAGAAGCAATGAAATACCAAAGGACAACTATTGATGTTTATGCCTCTCGGGGCCCTCTTGGGCAGGCTCTTGGAGCATCTCGAAGGCGTCTTGGGGCGTTTTGGAGCCATCGCAAGCGTCTTGGGCCAATCGTTCCGCAATTCGGGACCGTCTTGGAAGGTCTTTGAGGAGTGCCGGGGGGTGCGCCAAGGAACGGGAGTTTGACGTCGGTCGGAAGAGGGTTTATTGAATCGCTTCGCTCATTCCGCCGGCCCGTATTGTGCCATTGCAGGCGTTCGCCTGCGCGTTCGTGGCCTCTTGGGGCCGTGAGGGGGCCTCTTGGAGCATCTCTTTGGACCTCTTGGGGCTTCCTTGGGGGCTTCTTGGGTGATCTTGGGCGCTGCCAACGCCAGAAAAGCGGGCGTCGGATAGAATTCCTATGTATCGTCCTGAATTCCTCTCTGGCCCCCCTTGCTGCCTCCCTCCCTCTCTGGTCCCCCATCCCGCCTCCCTCCCTCTCTCCCTCCCTCCTCTCTTTCTTGCTTCTCCCTTTCCTTCTGCCTCTGGGGCCGTTTGGGGGCCTTTTGGATCGTCTTGGGGACCTCTTGGGGGCCTCTCGCGCGGGCTGCCTGGGGGTGGTCTTGGGGACCTCTTGGGCCGTCTTGGAGCGTCGGGAAGCTGAGAAGGCGAGAACGCTAAGGTTCATCAAAAACCACTGGAAGGTCCATGATTTTTGCCTCTTGGGGCTCTTCTGGGAGGCCTCGTGGAGGCCTCTTGGGACTTCTTGGAGGCCTCGTGGGCCGTCTGGAAGCCATCTCTGGGTGTCTCGGACGGATCGTTCGACGACTCGGAGCCCTCTTGGACCGTCTTGGGCGCCTCTTGGGATCTACTTGGAGCGCTCCGGGGCGCCTGAAAGCTGTGCCCACTAGGAAATCCATTTCTGATCCGCACCGCCCGGGGACCGCCCAGGGACCTGCTGGGGTGCTTTTCGTCTGGGGACGCGCAGGGGCGGCCCCGCGCGCGAGCTAAAACTATAGTTCATCTGTTACCGGAGATCTTGGTACGCCTCTGGCCCGTTGGGCCGGCGAATTGTTGTGGGGGTTGCCAACTTGTCCGGTAAGTCCTCTCACAGCACTTGGCATGGCATCGCTCGTCGCTTGGAACGTTTAGTCGATGCATTTGTCGCTGCTTTGGTATCCTGCTGCGTTAGAAGCTGCTGTCGCAATAATCAGCGGTGCGCGTCGGTTGTCTGACCCGACGCCACCTCCGCCTCCCACATAGATCGCGGCCGCTCCGCAGTCACCGCTAGAAAGTGGTGTCACAGCATACGCTTGGCACGCACCGGCAATTCAGACTGCGATAGGCCAGATGTGTGTGTGTGCGTGTATAAGGCCAAAGTTTGACGCGGCGTGTCGTGAATATTGCCTGCCTTTTCCTTTCTCTTTCTAGAAGTTCCTCCTTCCCATCTTCTTATCATGTTTTGTTCGTTCCCCGGAGTTCTCAGAACTCCCTCGCGGCTTTCGTCTACGCCGCTGTTATTTGAATGTAGATCGCTCAATGAATTGTTTTTTTTGTTGTGCGACAGGTTGCTGCAGCTACAGATCCACAGATGCGGGTTACACATACGCAAATCTATATATAGAGATAGAGATATAGCTGACGACCGGGTCTCTGCGCCCGAGGGGCGCTCACTTTCCATCCCCCTCTTCCAAGCACCCAATGCCCCAGGAGACGGTCGCGGTAGGCGCGGTAGTGACGATGGTCCTCTGGCCTCTTCCATTCTGGCCACTATTGGGTGGGACTCCGCGTAGGCCTGGGTGGCTGGTACTATTCGGTCGAGGTACTTTCCCAGGGCCTTGTGCAACTCGTGAGCCTCCCTGCCCTGTCTGGGCTCCCGATCGTGGTCTCTGTCCCTGCGGTCGCGATCGCGATCGCGATCGCTCGGCCTCGCCTTGGGCTGTACTGGCACCCAGGGCTGGCGGGGTCTGCTGGGCTCGCGCTCTGGGGCACGAGGCTGGGAAGGCTGGCGGGGACGGCTTGGCTGGCGACTGCGACGAGCACGATCCGCAAACTGCGACCCACACGATGAGCACTCCCAAAGGCGTCCATCCACGTGAGAGTGGCACTGCCCGCACGTCCACCCTGGCTTCCTTCCAGTCATTTCTGCTGCTGTTGACTGTCGTGGCTGCTGTGCACTGTGGTGGCTCGAGAGCAGATCTTGAGCCTGAATAGCGCTGAGCAAGGGCCTGGCTGTGTGGCGGGCGCGGCGCTGTCGCCGATGCCAGCCTGGCTCGCGGCTGCGCGAGCGCCGCGTCGGGCGGCGGCGGCGGGCGCTGGCGCCCGCGGCAGCCGATGGCGCGCGGGCCCGCGGCGGGGGCCACGCGTGAGGCAGGCCGGACAACGGTACCCCCCACACCCAAGGGGCGCTCTCCTCAGCCAGATGCCTTCGTGGACTCCTCCTCCTCCTCCTCCTCCTCCTCCTCCTCCTCCTCCTCCTCCTCCTCCTCTCCTCCTCCCTCCCTCCTCCTCCTCCTCCTCCTCCTCCTCCTCCTCCTCCTCCTCCTCCTCCTCCTCCTCAACCCTCCTCCTCCTCCTCCTCGTCCTCCTCCTCCTCCTCCTCCTTCCCCTCCTCCAGGACCGTGCTTGAGGGTTCAACCGTGGACGGTCTGGTCTGCGAAATGGGCCAGAGGAGCTGGAGGAGCAGAGGGGCGTTTTTCATTTCCTCGCCAAGACGCGCGCAGGCACATGAGCTGCCTCGTGTGCCGCTCCAGTATTCGTCGCAGCGTTGCGCTTGTGTGGTTGGTCACCGCATGCCCCCTGCCAGAGCCGTCCTCCTCGCCGGGTCCGCCGCTGGTGGCGGGAGCAGTCTAGTTGGCCCCCAGCAGCCCTTCCCATGCGAATCTGTCGCGGGAGGAAATTGGATACTGGGTGCATGTCCAGTTGCCTGCGGCAAGTCCCGCAACCGTGCCAGCCCAGCATCCTGAGTGGCGACTGTTCGAGGGCGCACAGGAGGCTATGAAGTGTGACATCTCGTGCTTCTCGTCCTCGTCGTCTTCCTCCCTTTCTTCCGCCCTTTCTTTGGCTCCTGTGGGCCAGTTCTGGGGGTCCTTTGGACTCGTGGGCCGTCTGGGGGCTCTCTTAGGCCGTTTTGGGGCCTTCTGTGCTGTCTGGGGTTTCTCTTGCGGCCGTCGTGGACTTTCCTTGGGCCATCTCCAGGGGCCCTCTGGGGCTGTCTTGAGGCATGCGTGTGTGGATACTTTGGCAATTTTGTCGCCATCTTGCACCGTCTTAGGGCCATCGTGGAGACCGCCTGGAGTTGAAGGAAGCCCGGAGAGGTGAAAAAACAAATCCTGTCAACGACAGAAAGAAATCTGTGACTATGGCCTCGTGGTGCCCCACTGGGGGTGTCCTCTTGTGGCACTCTTGGGCCGTCTTGGGGGCCTCTTGGGCCGCCTGGAGGCCATACTTACGCAGGACGAAAAGATGTTCCTCTTGCGGTCGCAGGCCATACTTCCGCAGGACGCACCGAAACGAACACCAAGCCAAAGCCACACCTGGATCCGCGCGAACTTCATGGGATCCGATGGCGGTTATCTCACACACGTCTGCTCAAGAGTTCAAGCCGTCGTTCTGGGCCCAAGAGGAAAAAACTTTCGTCTTGGAGGCCATATTGGGCCGCCTTGCGGCCGTGTTGGGCCGTTTTTGGGGGCAGATTGGGCCCATCGTCACGGGCTGGGGTGCATGCCCTGGCCGTGTGACAAGCTCGGGAGCGCGGACCCGAGGAGGAGGAGGAGGAGGAGGAGGAGGGAGGAGGAGGAGGAGGAGGAGGAGGAGGAGGAGGAGGAGGAGGAGGAGAGTGCATGTAGTATTGCGAGCTATCGTGGCCTCGGGAGCGCCGACACATGTTCGTGGTGCAACAGATCGTGGCCTCGGGAGCTCGGATCCACGGTTTTTCTAGACTCCGAGGCGGGGATTTATCCATAACCACCGCCTGGGGGATCGATCTTCGCGGACTTCCACGGGCGGTGGATGTGGATAGATTCGGCCCCCGGGGGCCAGCATAGGTCCACATCCACCGCCCGCTGGGGCGCCAGGACGTCGGTTCCCAGGCGGTGGATGTGGATAAGTCCCCGCCTCTCGTAAACAGCTTGTCTGCAAGGGTTCGACGTTATCTGCTTCATGGCACGAGTGGGCCCCTCCGTATCAGGAGCCCGTGGCCCGGGGTCTCCCGCACGGTTCTCCCGCAGGGCCTCCCCCCCCCCGCGTGGTCTTTTTTATGCTCGACCTCCCGTATGGTCTCCCGTGCGGTCTCCCGCAGGATCGCCTCATGGTCTCCCGCGTGATCTACCCTATGGTCTTCCGCAGTGTCTCCCGCATGGGCTCCCAGCTGGTCTCACGCGTGGGCTCCCGCAGGGTCTCTCGTGGGGTCTTTTGCATGTTCTCTCGTTTTGAGGCCTCCCGTATGGTCTCTCTCCTGTCTGAGCAGCACAGTAGCATACTTTCCTTGGGGTGCGATTGTGCGTTTTTGGGCTTCCTGCAGCCAGTGTGCATGTTTGACGCGACGGATCGTGACCTCAAGGACTACCAATTTAAATTTACCAGGATCGTGGCCTTGGGATCGTGGGTCCATAGTTATTCTGCGAGGTGCAGGGGCGGGGCACGCAGCGGGACGCGGGGAGACGGATGGGGGGCGAACGCTGCAGAGACCCTACCAGGCAGCAGTTGGCATCCTGCCACGCCTCTGTCTCGCCCAGGGGTGCGGTGACGGATTACGTAGTATGCATTGTGCGGCAGTGGTGGCACGCAAATGGGGACGTTAGCTTGGAGAGCTGACGAGAGGGGATGGAGACACTGGACCGGACCCCTGTGTGTCTCACTTCCACAGTTGAGGGCCGTCAAAACATGCAGATAATCACAAGTTGTTTCGGGCGCTGGTCCAAGAGGAAAAGTATCTCTTTCAGCTTGGTCTGTTCTGTTCTCCTGTCAATTGTGCTCGGTTGTGGTCGTCGAGGTTGTCCAGTTGTGTGCCTTCGACATTCCGCGGCAGTGCAGCCCCATTATTGTCCCAATTGGTTCGATCTTTATCGGTTTGCGCACATGTGCGCGTAATGATTCCCTGTGTGAGCGTAGCCACTAATTCAGCATGTGTTTCCATTGGTATTTTCATGACTGTTCAAGTCGGAGTCATCGGATATTTGAATCGTGAACTGTTCATTATGGCATGATCCCCGCACCCGCGTCTAGTGTTGTTGTTACGTGTGGCCCATGTGCGTAACGCGGGTGGCCCGATGCGAACAATAGGTATCCTCGCTCATTCCAATGGCACCCACATGGGTGTCAAACTTACAGATGTTCCAAGTACCTGGCTTTGCGATGCTCTGGTCGATGACAATTGCGTGTGGTATCACGCAAAAGATTGCAAACGATACACACAAGTTGTTCTCCCGAGAGTTTTCATTCGTTTCGAGAGCATCTTTTTCCACATGGCTGGGGGAGCCCAACAACTCCACACAACACTATACGGTGTCCAAGTATGTGGACCGATGCATGTACGCATGAGCATCGTTGTAGGTGGGATGCTCACGCACCTTGTTTCACCATTTGTTTTCGTTGTTGTCAGATGAGCAGGCCGCGTGGTGTCATGCTTCCTTCCGTGTGCTTCTAACGATGCGACCCTTCCCGGGCCTGGTCCTTGTGATATCCAATCCACTGCAAGCCGCCTCCGCGCCGAAGAGGTCGCTCAAAACCGCATCAAGGTCGTAGCGTTGCGCAGATATTCGATCCTCGACGCCGGTGTTCGTCCCGAGTCGTCCCAGGACCGCAGGCGTTCTTGCTCACGCCGTGGGCTGCTGAACCCCCAGCCGCTCCCCGACGTGGCCGTCGATGGCTGCGGGGAAGCCCCTTTTCGCAGACGACGGGGTGTCCGTGGTGGCGGCGGAGGATGGGGTGCTGACCCTGACGCTCGACCGAGGCGAGTGCCGCATCAACCCCACGAGCATCGCTCTGCTGAGCCGCGCGCTGGATGCGGCGGGCTCGGGGACCATAAGCTTCCGCAGCCACTCCCCCCTCCAGCCCCGCTGTCACCGCGAGGAGGAGGCGGAGGAGGAGGAGGAGGAGGAGGAGGAGGAAGAGGAGGAGGAGGGAGAGAGGAGGAAGAGGGGGAGGAGAGAGAGGAGGAGAGGAGGAGGAGGAGAGGAGGAGGAGGAGGAGGAGGAGGAGGAGGAGGAGGAGGAGGAGGAGGAGGGGTGGGAGGAGGAGGAGGAGGAGGAAGGAGGAGGAGGAGGATCAGGAGGAGATGGGGAGGAGAGGGAGTAGCGGGAAGAGGAGCGCGAAAAGGAGGACGAAGATGAGGAGGAGGAGGAGGAATAATGGAGGAGGATGTTGATGATGATGATGAGGAGGAGGAGGAGGAGGAGGAGGAGAGGGGAAGCAGTGGCAGAGGATGCCGAGAAGGAGGAGGAGGAGGAGGATCAGGAGGAGTGCAGGAGACACGGGAGGACAAGGGTAATGACGAGAAGGGATTCGGGAGAGGGATGAGATGGGAGGGCAGTGGAGGGGGAGGCTGACGTTGAGGGAAAGGCGGAGGAGGGCTGAGGGACGGCGAGATGGTTGTTCCATTGACTATGTGGTGCGTCGAGTTGGGGTGGTTGTGGGAAAAAGCTGCCGCAACGATTTGCTGAGCCTGAAGGTGGAGCAGGCGGCAGGGCCGAAAGCGTTGGTGGTGGCGGGCACCGGCAAGTTCTTCTGCAACGGATTGGACATCGACTGGATGGGCAAACATCCTCAGGGCACCGCAAGCATGATAGAGAGCTTCTGCCACGTGCTCGCTCGTCTGCTCTCGCTAGGCTGCCCAACGGTCTGCGCCATCACGGGGCACGGCTTCGGCGCGGGCCTGTTCATAGCCCTCGCCTGCGACTGGCGGGTGATGCGCAACGACAAGGCGTGGGTCAACTTCCCCGAGCTCAGCCTGGGCATGAGACTATCGAAGGGCTTCGCGGAGCTTTCGAAGGCCAAGCTGACCGCGGCCGCAATCCGCCTTGGCGTCCTGACGGGCCAGCGCTTCACGAGCTCGGCGGCGCTGGCGTCCGGGATCGTGGACGCCGAGTGCCCTGAGGCGGAGGTGTTGCCCAGGGCCCATCAGATGGCGCTCGAGCTTCTTCCTACGAACCTCAAGCTCATGAACTTCAAGGCGGAGTCCCTCACCAAGATGAAGATCGAGTTGTACACCGACGCCTATCGGGCCCTCCGGGGCCCCCACGAGAGCCCACCGCACGCGAGGCTGTGAGGTGGCTCGGACTCGGCGCCCGCGTGTGCCGCGCAGGCAGGTTTGGCAACGTCTCGAGCCAATCCTCTGACACCATGTTAAGATTAAGCACAACACCGCGCAGGTTGTAGGGCTTATTTGATCATTACTTCCAGCCAATCTGGATTTGTTCCGCGCAAGTAGATTTGGTAACGTGTCAGAGTCGCCTCCATCTTTCTCTCCACCAGATCGGTCCAGTGCGGTTCCTTTCCATTCCAGGCAGACGATTGGCCGCAGGAGCGTGTCCAGGAGCTGCTCGCTCCGCGTGCGTGCAGGTTTTCCTCGGACGGCCCAGGCCTCGGGAGCAGAGCTCCCGCGCAGGTGACCTATCTGCAGCTGTTTCTCGCTATCGGCCACTTCAGCGCCGAGCGATCTCAGCGTGTCCGCCGGGCACGCTCGGCACTACACTGCCGAGCGTGTTCTCCACACCGCCCGCTCGTCCAGGCTAGGGCCGCGTTCGATCCCGCCCTGCCGGCTCCATCGGAGTTGACAGGCATTCTCATCCGAGTGAGTACCGGGCGTTCTCCGATAAACTGCTCTGCTCCCGTCTTCCTTACCCCCTCACCCCTCGGAACCGAAGCCCCGACGCCGGAGGATGGGCACGGCCGGCTCTGCACGAGACGGCCCTCCATCCCAAAGAGACGCTCGTGGGCGCGGCGGCGCCCGCGTGCCATCACGAGCCGGCAGCTGGCATCCATACCCATGCGACCCCCAAATTCGTCGGGGAGGAGTCCTGCAAGGGCTATAGCTGCATGTTATCGGATGGGCCCCCCCCTCGAACGGGGGCCCCTTTCGGGGTCCGACAACCAGCACTCATACCTATAGCGCAGCCTCGAAGCGCGAGGCGCGGGTGAGCCCTTCTGTGAATACGGGTGTGTGTGCTGTCCGTTCGTCATTCCTTGCAGCAGCCTCGCGGGGGTGCCGGCCAGGGTGCTTGGATCCAGGCTTGCTGCTCTTCCTCCTCGGCTCCCTGGGCCTCCCTGCTCCTGCTCCGGTCTCACTCCAGGCTGCCTGTTCCTTCCTGTTCCTGCTCCTCCTCCTCCTCCTCCTCCTCCTCCGTAGCCATTTTGGCTCAAGATGTCCGCTTTGCGCAAGCAGGGAATGGATACCGCTAGTCCGCGGCCAGTCCAATCGACTTTCCAGCCACAACCACGGGTGAGCTGGCACCCCTCCATACCTTTCGCTCGCAGCAGCAGATTCATATCATGCCCGCCAGCTCGGCCAATGGCAGTGGGAAGAGAGATAAGAAAAATATCGGTGCAGATGGCTCTCGTGCTCCTGCTGCTCGGGAATTTGCTGGTTATGGTGAATTTCTTGATACGCGTGATGACGATTGCTCAAGATCCAGTCAGCAGCACCCTGACGAGGAAAACGCTCCAGGCATGGACCCTGCCGGCTGGGATGACCACATAGGGCCTCATCGATGGACACCTGCGCCAGACCATTAGCTCCTTCAAAAAAAAATCACAAAAATGATCGCCACGACAGCGAGTACAGCAGCCGCTCAAGCCGTCCACCCCGTCATTGCAGCGATTCGTGCGGTGGAAGAGGCAGTCAACAGCGTTCCTGCGACCTGCCAGCAGAGAGTTGAAGCTACTCTTCGACCAGAACTCGATTCATTGGAGTGACGGTGTCAAGCGCAGCTGGACGGCCTCAACTCACGTGTCTCTGCCCTTGACTCCCGCACCGACAAGATGGCTGACGATATCGCCAGTATGCGCTCATCCATGGATGAATTGCGACGGGAGCTGGCTCTCGCCCAACGCACGCCGCCACCACCACCAAAGCCGCCAAGCATCGGCTTCCAGCGAGAAGTTGACGGTACCATCCTCAATGTTGTTGCATCCACGATGGTCAAGCGCTCAGACGTGGTCTCTTCTATCAAGGCTTGGTTGGACAAAGCAAAGATTGCTGGGGAAGTCCAAGGCGAAGAGCAAGATCGACCTTTCACTCTGCAGTTTGCGGGACCTGTGGGTATCTCAGAACGTCGCGTCGTCCAAGCGTTCGGTGCTCTGCGTCTGCCTGGGAAGGGTCAGTGGATGCGATTCCCAGTGCCAGCGGCATCAGGAGGATCTACGCAACTACACATCGGCGCGAACAAGAACCCGCATCAGATCAAGCGCGAGATTGCAGGCAAAACAGATCACGGCTCTCCTTTCGCGAACGGTTTCCAGACGCTAAGCTATCATTCGACCGACAGAATGGATGGGTCCCAGAGAATTGGAATCCGTTTTTGCGTCTGGAACCACAGCCTGGACAATAACCAACCAAGTGTTATTGGAACGATGCTGCCCTTGCCTCCCGCGGTTGGACTTGCGAGGCGATCAAGGCCATCATCGACTCGATCATCGTTCCAAATGCTGAACCCGAATGGTGTCCATAGCAAGTTCGACAAGCTGATCACTAAGACCGCGGGGGGCGGCAGAGCACCAGCGTCGGCGCAGCTGGTCCTCACTGCCTGGAAAGCGAGGGCTCTCGTCAGGTTGCGGGGAGCTCAAGCAATGGAGAAGGCAACATACCTACATAATGCTGGCATTTCGGATTCTATTTTTGCTGTTCAGGAGGTGCATCAGACGTTGGACGAGCTCAAGTTCTTCATGAGACGCATCCTCCGCCGTCAATTGTGGTGGGATCGTTCGACGAGGAAGGTGCTGGTCATGCGCGAGGCGGAGTGGCCGCAGTCATCCCGCTAGCGGCTCCTGCGGGTGCAACAGCGACGCCTCGGTCGCTTGTTCCTGGACGGGCATTGCGCGCGGTCGTTCAGAATGGTGAAGTCGAGATTCGGCACTGCAGCGCACGCAATCACGGGCTCTCGAGTGCGGAGGTCTTGCGCGTCACCGCTATGATCGACGAGGTCAGAGCATGGGCCTCTCTGGCTCCTGGTTCGCGTATTTTGGTGGTTTGCGGCGGCTTCAACTTGCCCCCCCCCCCCCCCCCCCCCCCCCCCCCCCCCCCCCCCCCCCACCCCACCCACCCACCCCCCCACCCCACCCACCCCCACACACCCCCCACCCACACGACCCACTACAGATTTCTAATACTGCGATGGCTCGAGATGTGTGCGTTGCCAACAATGCGAGGACACACGTGCAGAAATGGCGGGCACCTCTTTCCAGCATCATCGAGATCGCTTCGAAAGAACCTACTCATGATTGTAAGGACACGAACACCTTGGCTCAGATCGACCGCGTTTGGATTGGATTTCAGAGCCCGGGTGGATTGCTTGTCAAGTTCAGCACGCTGTCGCAGTCATATCTACACCCAAGGAGCTCTCTGAGCGCAATGCTTCGGATCATGCAGCGGTGCGTGTAGTAGTGAAACTTAGGCGACACAATCGGAAGTATGCCAAGACTATTCCCACGGCTGTCTACAAATCTGCTGATTTTTTTTCAGGAGCGGCTTGGGCGGTTGCTCGATCATGAGGCTGAGGCTTCCGAGGCGCTTCTCCTCCTCGACAGCTGGAACGGCACAGAGAACTGGTAAACGCGGCGGCGTTCGACTTTCTTAACCAGCTGCTGCTGGGCGAACCCAGCTCCTCGGAGTCGCAGCGCATGCTCGCCAGGCAGAAGCGATTTGGCGACAAGACGTGAAGGTGGCGATTCAGGTGTGCAATTCTTCTGAGACGGCCCGAGAACGCGTTGAGATCGATGGCGCTCAAGTCAAACGATCGCAGCCGGCTGCATTTCAAGCGTGGGTTGGCTCAGTACAGCGCGCTGCAGTTGAAATAGAATTGGAAGACTCACAACCTGCGGCCCTTCATGGGCATGGGGGGCCAGGCCTTCGATGGGGGTTATCTCCGCGAAGGCGCGCAAAGTTCGGCCCTGGGTGCCCTTCGGCAAGAGGCTTATTCTTCGAGCTATCGAAGCTGGCAATGACCTATTTACGGAACCGATACAGAAGCTTCAAGCTCTCGACGACTATTGGGCTCCCACCTCAGCAAAGCCAGTCCATTATCCCAAGGCAACCCTGCTTTATGTCAAGAAGTTCGTGCGGCCTGGCAATTATGACGCTTGCGTGCCACCATCCAGAGAGATGCTCGGTCGAGTTCAGCATCGCCTCTCGCCGTCGCTTTTGGCTTGACGGACTCCCTTATTTGGCGCGGGCCGCATATCCTGCAGGTGGTGATGTTCTGTGGCGGGCCTGTCTGTGGCCTATGAGTGGGCAGCATTTCTTTGCATCATCTGGGGGCGCGTTGCACGCGCTCCTCCCGAAGGGCTGCCAAGCGGGGGGCGATGGCGGCAAAGGTGTGATTCGTGCGCCAGACACAGTACGGACATTACACCTGCGCCACACGGACATGAAGATCATCTCGGCCACCTTCAACATGGCGATAGCCCCGATCATTCAGATGACCACCTCATCTTCGCAGAGAGGCTTCATCGCTGGCCGCCAATTTACCACAAACATCTTGCAGCTCGATATGTTGGCCTGGGTTGGGTCTTTACTACCAGAAGTGCTGGTCGCGCTGGACTTCGGCCAGGCTTTTCCGTCGCTCAGCCAAGAGTTCCAGTTATCAGTCTTGGAGGCCCTGCAGCCCCCTCAAGGTCTTCTGGCAGCACTTCGTGGCCCTCACTCGGTGGCGACGGCAACTGGGAGAGCTGATGGGATTGCGCGCCCACTCTTTCGCATTTTCTGTGGCATCATTCAAGGCTGTGCGCTCTCTGGCAGTCTTTTCGCTGCATCGACATCGCCCTTCTTGGAAGACTTTCTTGGAAGACTTACGGCGTTTGATCGTGGAACCTTCCGTGTTTGCGCTGATGACATTGGCGGCATTTTGTTTCACATGGTCGACCTTAAGTTTCTGGCTCGGGTGATGGCGGCGGCGAAGAAGCTGGCCAATCTTAGGTTGAAGCCGCCCAAATGCATGCTGGTTCCACTCGCCGGGTCCTTCTACGGGGAGCTGAGGAAAAGCGCGGCGGACTTCTTGAAGACGCAGGTGCCCTGTTGGGCGTCATTCAAAGTGGAGGATATGTCATTGTACC